CTGCAGGGGTCACCTGACCTCCCCAAGTTTCCCAGCCTGTAGGTGTCCGGGACGGGCGCACCCCCAGCGCCAGCGTGCCTGGGACCCACGGCTCACCTGCTGAGCCTACTGCCCACTTCTGCCCCTCTCTCTCCCTCGACCTACTGACGGCCTTAGATCCCTGCTTTCAGACTCCATCTGAAGCAGCTACAAACTGATGAGAATATTGTACCCCCTTCCACCCCTGAGAGGTGGGTCAGGCACATTCTCTGATTTTTGGAACTTTGAAACTTAAGATGTGTTTTACGAATAGGCAATATAGTCCGAGGGTTCAACACTCAACGTGACACGCAGACGGACTGTCATCTCCTACTATCTCCTACCCTTACCTTGTCTTCCATGGGGCCTGAGAGAATAGACCAAAAGATGTGTGTGGAGTAGTGAACCATAGGCTGAGTGTGACCATCGGTGCTCCGGTTAGATGGCAGAGAAGTAAGAAAAAAAATATATATGTATATTGAGATGACATTTAACAATCTGGAAATTTCACATTCATGTCTGAATTTGGGGCTGTTTTGGAAAAACTGGACGATCTGGCAGCACTGGGTCTACCTACCTCCTGGCAGGTCTCCACTGGCCCGTCAGATGGGACATACAGGCTTTCCAGCTCAGCGTACCCCCAGCAGTGGCCTCTGCTCCCCCCCTCCCTGCCGGGAGCCCCAGCACTGGGGCAGCGACCCCACCCCGCCTCTGTCTTCCCTTCCCACCTCCTCTTTCTGGGCTGAAGGGCAAGAAAGGTGATGCTGGGAGATTTACTTTGAATCTCTTCCCTACATTCCAAGAGGCTGGAAATAAATCAAGCCCGGTCCCCGCGAGAGTCCCACCTGCTCGGGTCTGCTCTGATGTGGTCTCATCTCAAGCAAGACCTATCCCAAGCAGGGGAGGTTCTGGAGCCCAGTCCAGGGCACACTTAGCCCCTTGCTTCAATTAGCCGTGGGGGCCAGGTGGGGAGAAGCAGGGCACGGCAATGGCGGGAGCCCCCAGCGGCTCGCCACGGCTCCCTGAGCGGGACCCAGAGAGCCCGGGATTCCCTGGGACAGAACTGGCCACCGGCCGCAGTGTTCCCCGCGCTGGACTTGCTGCATCAGGAGGAGGCGGCAGCGCCTCGCTGGGGTGGCGCTGGCTGCGTGCCACGCCACAAGAGGCCGAGATTCCCCTGAAACTGAGAGCTACATTTATCTCTCACCAGCGACGGAGAAACAAACCAGCACGCTCTGCCCAGGAGGCATTTCCAGAAATTTGGGCCCAGGCTTCTGGTTGATGAAACGCCAGATTATCCTGGGCCTCTCTGTGGCAGGGAGACACGGAGCGCTTGGGCAATAGGTGGCGTTTTGTTTTGCAGACGACAAGATTTTCGACACTGAAAAGTTGAAATGATATGTACGAGAACCTTGACCAGCTCCCTGCCCCCTACCCTGTAGGAGGCTGTTTGAGGCTGCAGGGCTTGGCAGAGCTGTTTTTCACAAGCTTCAGCACCTCTGGGCCTCTCTGCCCACCCCGCAGCCCCAGCCTTCTCGGGCCCCTGGGGCGAGAAGACCTCATCTCATCAGTTTGTAGGGCCATACAGGCCTGGCAGGTACCGATACCCGGTACCCGGCTGTGGCCGTGGGAAAAGATGTGTCCCGAAGTGGAAGTTGGCAAACCATGGCACACGGGCTGGCGGACCGTTTTTGTAAATAAAGTTTTATTGGAAATCCAGCTGCACGAGCTCGTATCCATTGTGGCTGCTTTTGTACCAGGTTGGGGAGTTGCTACGGGGTCACAGCTCCGCCGGGAGAATTTATCTCGGGGAAAATGAAGGCAGGCAAAGCGTCGGCGGCCCGAAGGAAAACCCAGGGCTCAGGCAGACCAGCCCCCAAACGTAGGTCTGAGCTGCAGGTCAGCAAACTGATCTGTGGCAGCAGGTCAATAAATTCCCAGGTGGCCACATTGCTGTTTCTTCTATCCTGGGTGGAAAGGCGCAGACAGGCAGCTAGGAGGCTCCAGGGCTTCCCACCTTGCGTCTCGTGTGTCCTCATTAAGCCAGGTGTGGACAGCACCTGCCTCTGTGGCCAGGTCCCCTTCAGGGCACTCGGAGCACATAAGGTGTTATGGTCTCACATGCTCGGGGGAAGGGGGATGGGGAGCAGGGAGACACAATATGCGGCAGGGAAGGGAGAGATGATCGAAATGGGTGAAGGGGAGAGGGAGGTACAGGCTTCCGGTTCTGGAATGCCTGAGTCTTGGCAGACGGTAGCTATACCTGTGGCGAGCAGGGCATAACATATCGAGAAGTTGAATCATAATGTCGCACCCCTGAAACTCACGAAACATCGAGTGTCAAATGTACTTCGATAAACACGCACGCAAAACAGTAAACCAGTAAATAGGATTAGATCACAGTATGTAATAGGCAGAAAATAAATGGGGCCAGGAAATGTTTCTAGGGGAGGTACAGGGCTCAGGGGGGTGAGAGGAGCTGGCGGGACGTGTTCATGAGTGGACAGAACTAAGCAAAAGATCCTAAGGTGGAGGCGTAGGGGTGGGGTGTGGGGCAGAGGGGGTTGAGGGATTGAGAAGAGACAGGCCGGTGAGGAGGGACATGCCTAAGTGGAAGAACGGAGGCAGAGGCAGGCAGTGGTCCGAAGCTGGCTTCATCCCCCCCTAGTACCGAGGCTACGTTCCCTATGAAACAAGAGTGCGCTCTCAGAAGCGGATGATCAGCCCCTGTGGACACACCGACTGGAGAGTTTCTCATCGCTGGAGGGAGATGGGCTGGACCACCTCTTCTCCTTCTAGAATTTGCTAAGCAGCCTGTGGCTGAAAGAGACCCTTGTGCACTGAGTAGTCTCGGGGAGGAGGGGCCTTCCGCTCACTTTGTGCTGATTTTCGGTTCGTATGTGAATCACAGACACGGAGGTTCGGGCCCTGGACTCAGGATTTCCTGCTGTTTCCTGCACACGAGGGCAGCCTTGCTATCAGGGGCCGCAGCTCACTCCTCCCTGACGTCAACTCTCCTTCCAGTGAATGCATTTCCTTTTCCGTTTGGGAAGACCTGATATCTGTCATCAGTCTCATCAACTCTTGTCATTGTAACCCTGGCACCTCCCGTTCGGGAAGGAGCCAGTGCGACTAGCCAGAAGGCAGTGGACGAGGGCAGGAGGGGGAGGGGGCCTCAGCGCATGGGCTTTCGAGCCATAGGGGTCTCACAGGGCACATGCCTTCTGGGCCAGGGTCATCAAGGTGTGAGTGGAGAGCCCTGCAGCTGTAGTGGTGCCTGCCCTGGACCGCTGGCCCCTCCAAGCGGCTTGGGGGCACCCCCAGGTCTCCTCTCTGGGCCATCCGTGTCACCCGAGAGTGATTTATCTCCTCTACTTCTTCTTGCTAACCAGACCATGCGAGATCTCCTGGTGGAAAATGTTTGTCTTGTCATCGTGTAAATGTAACCATTAAAACAATTGCTCAATCTCTGAAAACCATTATTTAAAATTTTTGTAGCTTCTAAATGTGCACGTCCTGGGGCAAAGTCGTGGTTGCCTCATTCTGGTTGTAGCTCTGATAGCTGCAAACCAGCCATGAGGGACAGAGACTCTAGGTGTGTGGCTTCAGAAGGGACCGGTCATTGCCTGCTGTTTATACGTAAATACTTACTAGTTTAACTTCCCATGCTGTAATATCACCGTGTGTTCCTACAAGTTATTTTAGATCGGAGGTTCCCAGTGAGACAGTACTATGGTCATCTCTCTCACTCAGTATCTCACCCGGCGAAGCACTGCCACTGCCTACGACGAGAAGCTGCCAGCTCTTTCTGGATGGGTAGAATGCTCCCGTGGTCACCACCCAGCATCATGGTGCAGGCATCCAGCAACTTGACTCTACCGCTACCCCTCTTCCCAGGCCCTGCGCAAAAGTGGAATCATGCAATGGATGGTCTCACTCTAGTTACTGGAAATTAGGAAATTCGATGATTCACCACTTCTAACTCGGAAGAGTTGAATCAGATTCCACCTTGTATTTGTAAAGCTATATGAACGTAAAGGAAAACTTGAAACAATCTGCAGTGCTCATTGATGTAAACAGCTTGTAAATCCTTGAATAGCACCAAATAGCCAACGTTAGTGGTTTTGCGTAGTTACTTTCAGCCTGTCAATACAGGATGCTCTCTCCAATTTTTAACTTTCGCAACGAGATAAGCTCTAAACTACTAAAATTTGGATTTTACACTTGACGTCACTAAAGATTCCTCTAGGACGTAATTCTTTATGGCCGTGCCATCTTCGAACGTTCTTTTCTTTATATGCTTATTTATTTTTGAGAGAGTGCACACGAGCTAGGGAGGGGCAGAGAGAGGGAGACAGAGAATCTGAAGTGGGCTCCGGGCTGACGGCAGTGGACGCGGGGCTCGAACTCATGAACGGTGAGGTCATGGCCTGAGCCAAAGTCGGACGCTTAACCGACTGAGCCCCCCAGGCGCCCCTGAGACGAACATTCTTGCAGGAGGTGTGTAACTGACGTCCGTGGGATACGTGGGTGGAAGGGAGTTCGGAATGCGTTGCATCCACTGTGTCCACAACACCCTCCTGGGACAAGGATGATGTGGCCATTTTCTACGGTTCTCCCGGTTCCCAAGTCCCGGTCCGCGTGGGTCCGCCGAGGAACCGCACGTTTCGGGTCAGACCACCTCCCCCGCCCCGCAGAACACGCAACATCTCTCCAAGGTCAGCTAGAGAAGGTGCTCCGGCTCCCCGGATGCGGCCGTCGGCTCGCAGGACCGCACGTCCCCCGGGCCTGCCCGCTGCATCTGCCCCGGAGCTTCGGCGCTAGGCGTGACCGCGACAGCGCGACGCTAGCGGACGCGGGCGCGGGAGATGCCCCCGCGGCGTCTGCGCCTGCGCCGCGCCCGCACACCTGCGCCCGCCCCGCCCCCGCCGCCGCCGCCCCTTGTCCGCGAGCGCCGCTCTCAATAAAGTTCTTGCGCGCCGGAAGCGGAAGCGCCGAGTCTCCATGGCGGCGGCGGCAGCGGTGGCGGCGGGGCCGGTGCTCTGGAGGCGGCTGCTGGGCCTGCTGCCCGGTCGCCCCGGGCTGGCCGCGCTCCTGGGGCGCCTGTCCGACCGCCTGGGCAGGAACCGGGACCGCAGGCGCAGGAGGTGAGAGGCGGCCCGGCCGGCCGTGGCAGGGTCGCGGCCGCGGCCCTGCCTCCCTCCGCGCCGGGAGTGCGCGCTCACGCTGGCGGCCGGGCCCGGGCGCCCCGGGTCCCGGCGGCCGGCGTTGCAGGGGTCTGTCTGGTCGCGAGAGACTCCGCTTGGGTTCGGAGGGGGGCGGGCCTTTTCCTTACGCGGTCCTGACCGCGGGTGGCTCGGCCCGAGTGAATCAGCCCAGCCCGGGATTGTGATTGTGCGCGTTCAGCGCTGCTCACATCCTGCCCGAGAGAGAGGGCTGTGAAGCAATCCTGAGTCAGTGACTCTCAGGCCTGGGAAGAGGAACCACTCGAACCCCCCTTCACACTTTTCAAAGGGCCCGTGTGCTGGAAAAGTACTGAAGTGACTTCTGTAAATGGCGAGGGAGGCTTTGAAGCGGTTTGTTCAGGCCGTGGTCTTTCAGAGTCAACATTTGCCTAGAACATGCTGACCTAAGAGGCCTGCTGTTAGTGCTAATGTTTAAAAATTTTTTTTTCTTGTGTGCAGATGGTTTTCTTATCAGAGAGACTCAAGCCTTACCCTTGATCCTTCAAAAGAAATAAAAAAGATCTTAGACGTAGATCCCTTCGTAGGGTTTGCGTTGTCTTAGATTTTATCTGTGCTTGTTGGGTGAGACGGGACCTCCCGCTTTCCGCGCACAGACCTGTGGTCCAGTCATGCGCGCTGTTTCCAGGTATGGGAAGCAGCCTGCTTCACCCTGGGTTACGGTGGATGGTTTTCAGTAAAAATTAGAGTTTGATTCAGGGTAACACTTAGGTGATAGCATCGGGGGCAGTATTGAGCCCTTAGAAGCTTGCTGATCAGAATGGCTCGAAGTTTCGTAACTGCGAAACCAGTGGGAAACGGGTGGGGGCGGGGACAGGGCAGAGGTGGCCTCAGCATTTTCTGTACTTGGTGCTTGGCCAAGACCCGGCCATTGCAGTGGGTAGTGAAGTCAGATGATTTCCACATCTCAGCATCAGACCACTGGGAAATTTGGTTTCAAGTTTCAAGAAATGTGCTCTTCTCAAAGGCAGTTTTGTCATTTCCCTGTTAGGTGTTTAAACTCTAGGAAGAACGCTTCATTGTTAATTGCTGTTTAGTATTGGAATTGACCATTAACGAATTCTTTTGAAAGAGACATTTCCCTTGAGTGATTTTTTTTCCCCTGAGGGGGTGAGGAGCGTGGTAGCGGGGATAGTCTATACTGACTTCCCAAAGTCCTTTTTTGGAAATGGAGGCAGTAGGTGTGGCACCATATCTCTTCTTGATTATGTGGGAGAGAGGGGGTTGTATTTCTGGGTCAGCAGTTCAACCAGAAACTCACCGAAGCCAAAGAAACACAAGTGTCGGAAATTTGTGTCTTTTTTTTTTTTTTTTTAGTTTATTTTAGTTTATATTCTTTGTGTCTTATAATCCTTAGAAAAAATGCTACTTGGACTGTGAATAAGTGCTGTGACCAGTGTGGTTACAGCACTGTAGCTTTCTGAACCTTCGTTTTTCCTTCTTGCCTTCCTGGGTTTGCAGATTTTCCCCGACTTCTTGTGGCCTTGGTGTTGGGGTTTCTCTGGTCGGGTGTGGCCGCTCGTGCTCTATTGGCCGCTGACTTTCATTTCTCCTGCCACTTGTAGAGCTGCACCTCGCAACTCTTCATTCCCCGAATGGTGTGGTTTCTTGTAACTCTGGTAGTTGATTCACTGATAATAGTTCTATGTAGTCATGAGCTTAGACTTTTTCAGATTTTAGCCGCCAATCTGACTCAACTGTTGGAGTGCCTAGTGAGCTCTCGCGGCTAACAGGAGGGGTGGAGAGAGGGTTCTTTTCCTTGCAGCGGTTTCCTTGTTAGTTACAGAGACGGCCGTAGTGACAGAACACTACTTAAACTTATTTCCAGCTAGTGATCTAGAAATACTCTTGTTTTCCTCTTGAGCAGGCATCTGACTCATTGTCGCTGTGGACTGTTGGGTTCACTTATTCAGCACGCGTGTGTCGAGCACTGCTCTGCTGGGCTAGGTGCCGAGGAATACAGGTAGAGACATAGCCCCGCCTTCAAGACGCTCAGAGCCATAAGCAGAAAGTAATAGTAAAGTAAGTTAGAAGGTCACGGCCGTACCTAAGAGGCACACCAGGACGTCACAGAAGGCTTCCTGGTGGCGGTGATCCCAGAGCTGTGTTTTGGAGTATGGGAGCAGGCTGGGGAGAGAAAGGGGAGCTGGTGGTGGTCAGGGAAGGAACCTTAATGAGGTGGGCTGCTCATTGTAGCAGCAGAGAAGGGAGGCACTTAAGTCATTTCCCCGAGGTGACTGAGCTGACTGGGCATGCGGAGTAGGGAGGGGAGGCGAAGGGAGGAGCTAGGGACAAACTTCATCCTCTGGGCTGAGACCAGGGAGGCAAGCTTTGGGATTTCTTGTAGCTTCCTTTCATAGTGGCCCCGGCCCAAGGTGGTGGGGAATGGAAGGGATTGGAATCCGCTCTGGTGGGGGAGTGCTGAGGGGGGGGGGGGACGTGTGTTTGACTTGGGTGACGGCATGAGTGGAGAAGGCACACTTCACCCAAATGGGGGGGTAAGAAAGAGGACTGGGTGTGGGGGGGTGATGATCAGGTGAGTTTGGGGCAGGTTAACTAGTTAGGCTAGGTGGAGGTGTTCAGCCCGCAGGTGACTGCCAGGTCTGGGGCTCAGGAGGGGCAGACAGCACCTTCAGATAGTTGTTTGGAGCCTCCAGGCTACGCAGAACAGACTTGTTATTTGGAGAAGAGCTTTAGTGGGAAATGCGTTGGGGGTGGGGGGCGCGGGTTCCTAATGAGCTTGCCTGCCAGATGAGGAAACAGTTTTCTTTGTGGCCCCTTTCTCTAAAAAACACTAAATGATTTTCAGTTTGAGCTATCTGTGCAGAAAGGGCTTTATTTTTGTTTCTCTCTTCTAGGTGTGTGGGTGAGTGTGAGGAGTGGTGAGGGGGCTCCCGACCTCCCTGAGTTAGAGGGAAACAGATACCCAGAATGCCATTCTTGCAATTAGATTGTCTCAACGTTGTAACGGCAGTTCCGTACCCTCCGGTTCAGCTTGTTAGTTTAGTATCTTCTACCCTGAGGGACCACCAGATTTCCAGAAATTACTTTTTCTTCTAACCTTCTGATGCTCCTGACTTGTTAGGGGTTAGTAGAGCCATGTCTTGATTTACAGTCACAGAATGGGTGCGAGGGGGATACTTAGAATCAAAGCATAATTTCCCCATAAAGAATTCACATTTGATCCTGCAGGGAATTAGAGTAAGACTTGCAGTGGACAGACTTTTAAATTGTAGCTTTACTGAGATCACGTTAACGTCGACTGTCCCCAAGCACATTGCTGGGGGATGAATTATGCTGGGTCAGTCAGTCGTGTGCTCCTAGAGAGAGCAGGGAGCCTGGATTAAAGCGTTCTGATAGATCATCTGCTTGTAAGCATGTGATCTGATTCATGTAAACGAGTTTTTTCCCCGAAGCTGCTGGGAATTCAGGCCTGTCCGAGCCTTTGGATTAGCAGCACATGTGATTGGTTCTCGACAGGCACTTTGCTGGGCCTGGTGCTCTGACCGGCCTCTGTGTGTTGTGGGTTTCTGTTTGATTTGGGGCCCCTGGTTGTGAGTGACTTCCCTCTGGGCCAGGCAGGAGGCTAGTCCTCTAGCTGGCCGGCACGTAGTCACATGCTGGCAGCCCCAGCCTCCAACGCCAGACTTGTGGGAGTGCAGCGGGCCGTTGGTCTTTTGTAACCTACGGGAATTCACACTCACTTCCCTTTCTCGGGCTCGGGGCTTGCGCTAGTCAGGAAGGGCCGCCTGCTGCTGGGGATGCAGGAAGTACGCTGCCTTCGTGTAGTTTCTTAGAGCTTTTCTCAGGAAGTGCTATGACTCTTGCCCTTTTCTCATTAGCTCATGTTTTTGACGTTTCAGTGTACATGACTGGGGGGGGGGGGGGGGGGGTTTTTCTTAAAAAGTAGTTTCTGAAAATAATTACGGTCCACAGAGCTCGGCTTCTTTTAAAAACTTCATTTTTTCGTCATTTTGTACAGATTTGGATGGGATCCAACCCACAGAGCTTGTACCGCGAATCTTACCTTACAGTTCCAGAAGAGCCCATGGGCCTCCGGAGCATGACGGGGCCCACGATGGGGGCCACTTAGTTAGTATCCCGAGGACGGCACGGGACGAGGGGTGGGGGTGGGGGTGCTGTCCGCCGGGGATTTGTGGCCGGTGTCTGAGGATAGTCCTGTAGCATCGCTGTTTCCTTTGCTCCGAGCCCAAGGTACCCCCTTGGGACAAAACCCTTGAGAGGTGGGCCAGGTTGTTTGTTTCCCACCGGGTGGGTGACGCTGCGGCCCCTGGGGAGCAGACCCTCTCCGCTGAGGCGGAGAGGCTGTGGAGGGGACATGGGCAGTGTAGACCGGGGTATAATTCTCTGGTGTTTGCCTGCCTTTGTTGGTGTCTCGCTGCTGGCCGTGTGGGAGCGGGGTGGCACCTCCAGGCAAAGGAAGAATGCAGGTGTGCCAGTGTGTTCCCCGGGCGCACGCGAGGCTTCAGGATGTTCGGGGGAAATGGAAACCTCCCAGCTCCCTGCCCAAATACCTTCTCTGTCCCCTGAGGCGCTCTGGGTCAGTAGCCGTGTTCCCGTGTGCCTCGGCGGCTCTTCTGCTCTGTTTCCGAGTGGCTGACTGTTGTGAACTCAAGTCCCCCTGCCTCCCCCTGCCTCGCTGGAGGGTGGCCTGCCCTGTCCCACCTGGGACCGCCCCTTGGGCCAGGGTGGCCTCCACTGTCTTCACCTAGTGGGGGCCCCCTGTGTGGGGGATCGGGGTGGGGGGGGAAGAGCACCCTTAGTCAAGGCCATTCAGACTGGGATTCCTCCCAGAGACAGTGGGAGAAGACTTCTCTCCCCCTGTACCCCCCTCCCTCCACACTTATTCTGCCCTCCCGGAGTCACCCCGAAGCCTTCCCCCACCCGCCTCGCCCAGGTGCAGGAAGGGCCCCAGGTCAGGGGTCCTTGGCGCTTAGGCCCAGGACTCTGCACACTCCGTGGGAGCCTTCAGCCCTGGCTGAGCCTTTGGAGTCTGGCGGCCCGTGGGTGGCTGGAGCCTGCCGTCCACAGGGCCTGCTGCTTTGTTCCACTTTGAGAATTGCGCGCCTGGTTTGCTGTTGCCTCTGGCACCCGGCGGCCCTAGGCTCGTTCCCCAGGCTTCTGTGGTCTTCCCTAGTAAAGGAGCCGGCCTCCAGGGAGGCCTGGTCGTCAGCAGAAGCTGTCACCTGGTCCCCACCCCCCTCGCCCACTTCCTCTCTCTGTAACTAGAAATGGGGGCTAGGTGGGACTAGAGAGATGATTCAGGGGCGTCCAGGCCCCGATATGGAAATTGTGTGTGTGTGTGTGCGCGCGCGCTTGTGCACATGCCGGTTTAGTTCTCTGAAGGGTGTGTGTGTGATGCGGCTCTACTTTTTTGGTAAAGTAACCACATCTCTTGGGCCTCCGGTTCCTGACCCAGTACGTGTGTGCGGTTTCTGAGTAAGGCTCCCTGGGGTGCGGGGACTTGCCTGCGCAGGGGGTCGCCCCGGAGATGGGGGTTACTGTGCAGTGGGGGTGCTGCTGGCCCCGGGGGAACCCTTTTCTGGGAAGATTTCCAGGAGTCAGGCTGTGGGAAGCGGGAGCCAGCCCCCCGTGGGCTTTTGGCTGCGGTGAAGGACGAGCCTGGGCCCCCAAACGGATGCTGGCTTGGCTGCTCCCGTCCCCGCCCGGCACCTCGTGGAGAGTCTGGGCGTCACCTGTCCACATGCGGCCTCCCCCACGCCCGTACTGTCACTGTGGGGACCTTGATAGAAGGCTTTGCTTTTCAGAGTGCCTCCTCTTTGGGTGTATAAAATTGCCACTTGAGGGCGGTGCAAACCCCCCCCCCCCCCCGGCCCCTGCCACCTCTCAGCTCCTTCTCCTCTCTAGCAAAAATAAACCTGTCAGTACACAGATCAAACAGGAAGCCAACCGAAGAAAGCCCTCAGCAGATCTTGGACGGAGGCCCTGGTGGAGCATTCCCGGGGCGAGCTGCCCGACGGGGGCGAGCCCGGCCCGCCCTGCGCCTCTCCCAGGCAGGACGGGGCCCCCGCCGGACCCTTGGGCGTGCGTGTCGCAGGGTCTGGCCCAGGAGACCCTCCTGCCAGTTCGCGCTCCGCGCTCCTCTGTAGCCTTGCTCGCCCCTCCCCGGCCTGGGGCAGCCCCTGGGAGCCCACCCGAAGGCGGTGGTGCTGGGGCTCAGGGGGAGCGCCCCTCTGTGGTCACTTAAGCCCACATGCTGTGTATTTTGACCAGTAATTAACAGCAGCACCTGTGTCTTGTGCCGTTCTCGGGTGATTGCTGGGGCGTAAGCCTGTGAGACCCAGCTTGTGGGAGCCCGTGGCCATGCTGCTCCTCCCTTGCGGCACCTCCCCCCACCCCTCCCGCCATGGGACAGAGGGCTGCTCATGTGATGGCCGGGCCTCGCTTGCCCTCCCCTGCCCTCGCCCTCTCCTGGGCTGCCGGGTGCCAAGGACGTGTTTCTGTGTCTTCCTTTGGGGGGCTGACTGCAGTCTTTTGTTGGCCCAGATGAGGGGTGCGGCCCGACGGCACGGCACGGGGTGTTAGCTTACTTGTCTGGTGTGAGGGAGGACAGGTGCCGTGAGGCCGGGGGTACGCTGGTCGGCTGCTGCTGTGGGGTTTTCCACCTCAGACTGTGTTTAGTGAACGACTGTTGGACTTCAGGCTCCCTTTGGGGCTTCTGATCGATAGTGTTGTGCAGACTTTCCCGTGGTCCCGTGGTCTTCCATTGGACTAGAGGGTCTTTCCCTCTCCTTCTGGGAGCTGTCTTTGAGCACCACAGGAATAAGGCCTACGGTTTGGGAAATCGAGGCAGCAGTTGCCTAGGCCTTTCACTTGGCCAGCTGCCGCTCGTCACCTGAGAGCCGTAGCAAGCCGGTGTCCCTCCCCCCCACCTCGGGGACAGCGGGGAAGGCTGGCTCCTCTCCTCCCTATGCACTGGGGGGGCCCCAGGCCAGTCCCCAGCTTCCCAGGATCCAGGGGACCGCTACCTTCCACCCGTTGACTCAAGTTTTCTTGGCGATGAGTCGGCCGGGACAGACCGATGGGTTCTGGGAAGCACAGCTGTGGGCCATCTGGCGCCTGCGTGGGGACGTTCGTGGGCCCTGGGAAGACTCGGCACCCTAGCATGAGGCGAGTGAGTGACATCATCTTCCTGGAATCTGTGGCCCTTCAGGCCTTGGGGTATCGCAGCGTCCCTTCCCTAGAGTCCCTCTTGGAGCTGTGGTAGTAGGTCACGCACTGCACAGGGACTTCCTGCCGCTGCCTGCTGGGATTCCGAGGAGGGCCGGGCTCGCACGGGGCTGCGGGTGTCCCCGCGGAGGCGCAGCCGGCGGGCAGCAGACCTGCGGGCCCGCGGGCAGGAGGCCAGGACCTGCGTTGCTGCCGGCTCTGCGTCAGCGGAGTGGAGCCGGCCTGGGGCGCAGCTCTATGTGACATGAGCCCCGAGGACCACGTGTAGGGCGGAGGGGGCGACTGTCGCCACCACCAAGATGACCCCCTCCTCCAGACTCTGGCTCCTCCTGCTCCAGCTCCTCTCTCCACAGCTGAGTAGTCAAGAGAAAGTTTCATTTTCCTAGGTCCTTCCCTGAATAAGAGCCTTGCTTAGCTCTGCAGTCACGGCCGGCGGCCTGGGGTGCGGCGGTCACACGCATTCCAGCCCCGCCTTCGTTCCTGGTGGCCTCGTGGCCTCGTGCAGGCGGGTTTGGCGGGGCGCCCCCGTGTTGAGCGTGGTGGCTTCCGTGCATTCACTCGTGGCCGCTGTAAATTTTGAGTTGTTGGAGCCGGCCCCAAGCCTGGGGCTTCTCCGTAGGCCTCGGTACTTCTCAGGCTGCGCAGCTGGGCCGGGCTGACGGGAGAGCCCTCGGGCTCACTTAAAGTAGGCCAGAGAATCCAAAATTGGTTAAAAGGGAAAACCCTCGCACTTCTGTCTGTCCCCTGGTAGCTGGCACAGACTTCTAAGGAGGTGGTGGGGAAGTATGACCCTTTGCATGTCTCTCTAACCAGGTCACCATGGCTGCTGTTGGCCCCTGTGCTGTCCCCCGCGGTCCCCCAGGTCACCTCCCCTCCTTGCTGCCTGTGTCCGGAGGGTGTGCACAGGTTCCAGTGGATCCGGAACCTGGTCCCAGAGTTCGGTGTCTGCAGCTCGCACGTCAGGGTGCTTTCCTCCCCGGTGGAGTTTTTTGAGCTCATGAAGGTAAGTTGTGTCCATAGGAGGGAGGGAGGGACGTTTGAGCTGGAGGCTTGGGGACCTGAGGGGAGGGTGTGTCCTGAGCAGAAGGCTTCTGTTCTGGAAATTTCTTCCTTTATTTCAAGTTTTTATTTTTTTAATTATTTTTATTTTGAGAGAGAGAGAGCAGGGGAGGGGCAAGGAAAGAGAGATTCTGAAGCAGTCTCCACACTGTCAGCACAGAGCCCGACACGGTGCCCCAGCTCAAACCATGGGATTGTGACCTGAGCCGAAATCAAGGGCCGGTCCCTTCATTGCCTGAGCCCCCTAGGTGCCCTGCACTCTGGCAGTTTCTGACGGCTGCTTACCTTACGGCTGATTCTTCTCCCTGTTGGGAGCTTTTCGGCTTCACAGATGGTTGAGTTGGGCTGTGCTCCAAAGCTCCCCTGCGAAGCTCCCGTGGCCGGTAGAACAGCCCAGAGCGTGTGGGCAAGTGAGGAGCAGGTCCCGGATTTCGAGTCTTATGGACAGACTGCTTCCGTCGGCTCCGTTCGGGAAGGGGTGTGGGCACCCTTGCTGATGGGCTCTGAGAAGAAAGGAGCCTTACGCTAGGCATGGCATGATAGACCCCTGCCCCTGCGCATGTCTCCAGGACACAGAACGTTCTGGAAGTGAGGACCTGGCTGAACCACGGAGGAGACCGGATGTGTAGGAAGTAGCTGGAATTCTCTTGTTCGTGACGAGGTGTTTAGACATCGCTGGAGAATTCGGATATCTGGTCTTAGGCCTTACGTTCCTGTTCTGTCCTGTGACTTTGTCTCAAGTTTGTACCTTTTGTGTCCTGGGGGCGAGGCTGACCTTTGCAGGGAGGGACTTGAGCTCTCAGTGCCCAGATGTTCGTGTCGCACCTGGTTCCTCAAGGTTAAACTGCTAATTGGAATAAGTAATTCGAAGCTGATTAATTTTTTATTAGCATGAGCTCTCTGGGTTCAGATCAGCAGTGATGGCAGAATTTTGGTCCGACAAGGTCGGGCAGGCAGAATGCTGGGAGGTAAGAGGAAGTGTGCGTAGAGGTTAACGTTTCTGCAGAACCATCTGTGTCTGATTTGAATACCTGGCCCCACCTTTGGCCCTTCTGTGCTGTAGAGCCACGCTTAGCTTAACTTCCGACTGGTGCAGTCCAGAATGCATTCTGTGTGTGTGCGTGTCCCCGTCTGTCTGTGCAGGGCTCTCCCCACCTCTCCCTTGCACTGCTTCTCTGTCCCACGCATCCTTTTTTGTGTAGAACTGATGTTGAGGCGGTTTGCTCTTTGCTCCTACTTGGTTCTGTGTTTGGCTTGAAGAAACCGGTTTTGCGGAGGCAGTTCTCGTGTTCTAGTCGACTCCGCGTGAATGGCTGCCAAGTCTCCGCGTCGCCGGTCCCCGGCGGTGCACCTGTCCTGGCTGGGCCACGGAGGACAGGAAGGGAGGAGGCCCTTCTGTCCTGCCCTGTGGGTGGAGTTAGGGCAGATTCTCCCCCGTGGATGGTGCAGGGTGGGAGGCGTCTCTTTCCGGGGTGCACAGAGCGGCCTTGCCCCCCGAGAGGAGAGTGCGTCCTGCCATTGCCTGGCCTGTGAGCCGCTGTTACGGCCGAGGCTGCTCCTGTGGGCCTGGCGGCGGCACCAGTAGACACTCTGCTGCCCGAGCCGAGGTGTCCGGGTCCCCGCAGGATAACTTCATGAATAACCAGACCGAGGGGGCGGTGAGCTTGGGTAGTTCTCTGTGCTTTCCATGAACGCAGGCCTCTTGCCGGTGTGTTCGCCTGCTCCTGTGCAGGCCGTGCGGGAAAGCCTCCCGCCTCCCTCCCCCCGGGAGGCCTGGCCTTCCTGTCTCCTTTGAGAAGGTCCTTCCTGACCTTTGGAAGCCTGCCGACCTTCCTGTCCTCGCCACCCCCTCTGGGGCAGGGCACTTCAAACTCTAGAGGGGGCCATTGTTCCCCGGGCCAGAGCAGGTCTCTGGAGAGGACGGAGGTGACCGTCATCTTTGCTGCCCTGTTCTTCTTTGTGCCTAGGGGCCTGTCCTCATCGCACAGGACATTTGTACCTGATTGTTATGAAAGTGAACCGTGCAGGTGCAGACGGGGGCATGCGAGTTGGCACCCGCACCGCCCTCCTGCTTGGCCCCTCAGGGTCCACTCTCGGCGGTTGGTGCCCTGTGCACGCCCCACGTGAAGCCCCTGGTGAACAGGGTGTGCGGGTAGGTGGGGGGAGCGAGTGGCTTTCATGTCAGCGGGACGTGGTGGACGTCGTCAGGTCGCAGCGCAGACAGCCTTCATGCTGTGGATGGCTGCGTCGTGTCTTGGACGGTGGGGTCGCGCCTTCCTTTTGGGGAGAGTATTTTATTTCATTTCATTTCATTTCATTTCATTTTATTTATTTATTTTTTTTTTTAAATGTTTTATTTATTTCTAGGAGAGAGACAGACAGACAGCGTGAGCAGGGGAGGGTCAGAGAGAGAGGGAGTCACAGACTGAAACAGTCTCCAGGCTCTGAGCTGGCAGTCAGCACAGAGCCCGACGCGGGGCTCGAACCCACGATCCATGAGATCATGACCTAAGCGAAAGTCGGACGCTTAACCGACTAAGCCACCCAGGCGCCCCTTGGGGAGAGTATTTTAAATAAGGATTGTGGGTCCTTATTTGGTAGCTTCCCGTAAGGTGTAGGAGAGCCCCGCCTGGAGGGTCACCGGTTGTATTTCCTCCGTGAGCTGTGGAAACCACAACTGGGAATTGTTTCTCCTCTTTCAGGGCCAGATAAAAGTGGCCAAGAGACGGGTCGTGATGGCGTCTCTCTACCTGGGGACAGGTCCTCTCGAGCAGGAACTGGTAAGGTTTGAGGTGGGGTGGTCCCCACAGCAGCGGTGACTCCCCCTCCCGCCCCCACCCTCTGCCAGTCCCTGGTTGTCCAGAGGGCCAGTGAGGGGTGCGGGGAGGGCTCCTCCTCGCACCCATGTCCTCCTCACCCTACGCGGGGCTTCCTAGGCGGCCCTGTCTGCCAGCCCAGGGCTCAGCACGCCACGGCTCGCAGGCCGCACCTGGCCCGCCGCCTGGTTTTGTGTGGCCTGTGGGTTAAGAATGGCTTTTGCGTTTTCAAATGATTGGGGGGGAAATGAAGAGGAGAGTACGTGTGACACAAGAAAAACGTGGGAAACGCAGATTCCTGTGCCTGTAAACAAAGCCTGGTCGGAACACGGCCGTGCTCACTCGCAGATGTGTCGTCTGCGGCTGCTCTCCTGCCGCCACTGCAGAGCTGGTAGTTGTGACAGGGACTGTCCGGCCCACCGAGCCCAGAGTATTTCCTCCTGGGGCCTTTACGGAAAGAGGTTTTTGGACCGTGTCCTAGACAAGCGAGCGGAGTGCGGGCTGGGCAGGGGTCAGGCACCCGGGCTGCACCTCGTTCCGCCCGGACTTGCTGTCGCCCGCAGTGACGTGGGCAGGATGGGAAGGGGAGGACCCGCTGGCTTGCGTGCGTGGGGCGCGGTATGCGGGCGCGGGGCTGGGTGCGGGCGCGGGGCGTGGTGTGCGGGCGCGGGGCGGTGTGCGGGGCGCCGTGCGCGGGCACGGGGCGGGGCGCGGGCACGGGGCGGGGCATGGGGTGGGGCGTGGGCACGGGGCGGTGTGCGGGGCGCGGGGCGGTGCGCGGGCATGGGGCGGTGTGCGGGCACGGGGCGGTGTGCGGGCACGGCGTGTAGCCAACCCCACGTGAGCGCGGTGAGGCCTTTCTGGGGTCTTCTTCTCAGGACGCCCTGCATGGGGACGCAGCAAGCCGGGCCTGGTGCCCGCAGCGTATTTTTGCTCGTCCCTGCCCAGACGCGCACAGCGAGGGGCCGGAGTGGAGCTCCAGAGACGGTGGGGCGGCTGCGTGAGAGGCACTTCTGTCCTCTCCGCTCTGAGAGGGAGGCATCGGTCTGCCTTAGGGACATGCTTTCAGCAGCAAGCTTGGGAAGCCTGTTTATTCTTCTGGGAGAAGACTGTCCCGTCCAGCCCGTGGAGTGTGGCCAGTGGGCGGGTCGTGTTTTGGATTCATTGGTTCTGCAAATATTTGCCGAGTGCTGTCCGTGTGTAGACACTGTTTGCTGTGTGTCGCTGGGGGTTGTTGAAATGTGCGAGCGCTGGTGTCTCAGCCTTTCCGAGAGCAGCAAGGTCCAGGCTGCTTGGGCGATGTGCCTCCGACCCGCAGGCCCTCCTTCCTGCCCGGTGCGGCCTGGCCGGGGAAGGGCACCAGGTGGCGTCGTCTGGCTGCTGGTGCTGGCCTCTGCGGTGGGCACGTGTTCGTGCTCTGAGAGGGCTGGACACAAGGGGCCGGGGGGGCCGGGGCGTGTGTTACCTGGCAAGTTGATCCTTTTTTTTTTTTTTAATGCGTGATCATCTTTTTGGATCTTACATTTTTATTCTTTTGGGGTCTCTCCTCGGTAGGTAGATTGCCTGGAAAGCACGCTAGAAAGGTCACTCCAAGCAAACTTTCCTTCAGACCTCAGGGTGTCCATCCTCTTGGACTTTACACGGGGCTCAAGAGGTAGGTCTGACCTGTTCTTGCCCCGAGGATTCCTCTTCCAGAGCCTCTGTTTCACGAGGTGTTCTCGTCTCCCGTGTCCCAGGCAGAGGCCAGCCCGTTGGAAGATGGCCCAGGGTATCAGCGTTCCTTCTGTAGCCAGGGACTGGAGGCCCAAGGGAAAACAACGGAGGCAAAAAAGAGAGTGTTTTTGGGGCCCACGACTGACCTGCTCCGGGCAGGTGGTGATTTGGGGGGTTGAGTCATCCCCAGGATCCATCTGTGGTCCTCCTTCCTGTGGGCTGGCCTTGTTCTCAGGCTCCATGTGGTGGCCCCTGGAGCTGGGCTAGGGTTCAGGGCAGGTGGAGCCGTCTTTACCCGGAGTAGATGTGCTGACAGTGGAGTGGGGTGGCTCCCCTTGCGGGGGGGGGGGCCGGTGAGTGGGTGCTGAAACGGCAGACATCTGTCTGCTGCGCCCAGCGCACCAGTCCTGCTCTGGGACGTGGATTTGGTCTGAGCTCCGGCTCACCATGGCACCAGGGCGCCTGGCCGGTGGCGATGGGTGGTAGGTGGCTCCTTGCGGCGGGCGGGTGCTTTTCCTGGGGTGAAGTGCCCGCCCTGTCTCCCGCTGGCCCCCGTGTTTAGGTAGGAAGAACTCGCGCACGATGCTGCTCCCGCTGTTACGGAGATTTCCCGAGCAGGTTCGTGTCTCGCTCTTCCACACGCCCAACCTCCGGGGGCTTCTCCGGCTCCTCATCCCCGAGCGCTTCAATGAGACCATCGGCCTGCAGCACATCAAGGTGTACCTCTTTGACAACAATGTCATTTTGAGTGGGTGAGTTTGCTGCCTTCCACCCCGGACCTCCCCTTAATACTGTCCAGGGCGGAAGTTTGCAGACCACGGAGAAGGGAGAGCCCGCCTTCATACGCCTCCAAGGTGGCCGTACACTTCTGGCCTAGTGTCTTTCGTGGCAGTGCGTCTGCCGTGGCGGTGGGAGGCCCACCACTGAGGGCCGCCAGGAGGGTGCTGCGGCTTGCTGAGCACTTGGTGGATGCCCTGCGCCCTGCGTGTGCTGTCGCCGTGGCCCTTGCAGAGACCCGCGTCGTGCTCTCCTCGCTGTATCCACGGGAGACTAGACAGGACCAGTGACAAGCCACAGAGCCAGGGTGGCGGTCTGGGTTCTTTTGATTCTAAAGTTCGGGCGCTGGTGATGAGCCCTCTGGAGTAGTTGGCTTTATAAGTGTGTTCTCCTCTCAGCTGATTGTCACCTCTGAGGGGTGGGGCTTTGTGGCCCCTCCTTCGTGTCCCCTCATGCCACTCTTGCCTCGCCTCGTGTGTGTGTGTGTGTGTGTGTGTGTGTGTGTGTGTGTGTGTGTGTGTGGTCGCGCTCAGGCGGAGCCGCTGGTTCGTCAGTCTCTGCTGTGGGGTCGTCATGGGCATGTGTCACTGCCCCGCGCCCACCAATCCCCGGAGACCCGCCGCTGGTCCTGCCCCAGTCCTCAGCCGCTTCTTTCCTCCCTGCAGCGCGAACCTGAGCGACTCCTACTTCACCAACCGCCAGGACCGCTACGTGTTCTTGCAGGACTGCCCCGAGGTCGCGGACTTCTTCACGGAGCTCGTGGACGCCGTGGGGGACGTGTCCCTGCAGCTGCAGGGGGACGACTCGGTGCAGGTGGTGGAGGGGATGGTGCACCCGTACAAAGGTAGGGTCCTGGGCTCCTGCCCCCCGGAGCCGGCGGGCGGGGGGCCGGGAGCGTGCCTCTGGCCGCCTTGCTGCGGGCTGGCGACTCTTGGGTGGCGGAGTCTCGTTGTGCTGTGTCTCTGCAGCCAGAGGCGACTCACCAGTCCTGCTCTGTGGGTCCAGGGAAGGCGGGAGGGTGGGCTCCGGCCAGGGGCCCGGCCCCGCGCTTCCAGGAAGCAGCCCTCCCCAGGGCCAGTTCCCCAGCGGGGAGCGAGAGGCTCCGTGGCTCTCAGCTCCACCGAGGCCTGTGGCCTCCTGCCTGGAAAGTGAAATGGGAGAGCCCTCAGCTCTGCTCCCTGGAAACACGCAAACCCTGGCAGCTGGTGCTCCTGGGGGCATTCGCATTCCTGTGATTCCTGTGGCTTCCTGGTCGCCTTCGGGAGGGCCCGCTGCTGAACTTGCAGCAGTGTCCGCAGCGTGGGGAGGGGTAAGCCCTGACCGTGGAGGAGACGAGCCCTTGTCTGGGGGCCAGTCTGGGATCCGGGCACCTGCCCTGCCCGCTGCCAGCCTGGACGCTCAGTTATTAACTCCCGGCATTTTCTGTTTTTATCAATAAAAGAGATTGTGGAAATTTGTTTTCTCTCTTGTCATATGAGCACCTACGTGTTGTTTTCAGTTTTGCCCTTTGGCTCACAGAGCCTGAAATACTTGGTTACCCGGCCTGGACAGGAGACGCCGGCTGACCCCGGGTCTGACTTTACAGGCCAGGCACAAGTATGCAGAGGAGAGGCCCCCACGTTCTGGGAAGGATGAGTCAGCACGCTCAGGGAGCCTGCACAGACGTGCTCCAGGGACCGCAGTAGCTCAGAGGGATGCGGGAGATGCTCACGACACTCAGGACAGCCTGAGACCACCTGTGGTGGGCGGCGCCTCCCCCGAGAGCCTGCCGCTGGCGCTGTGACACGGTTTCCACAGGCCACCCCTTCTGGTCCTGGAGCCCTCCCCCCGACAGAGGCGCTCAGATGTGGGGGCGAGTAAGGGCCAGCCAGCCAGCCAGCCCAGCCGTCCCGTCTCCCCCCACCCCGACGCCGGCTCAGCGTTGCCCAGGGCCTGCTGTTTGCTCACCGCCCTGGAGGCGCGGCACAGCCCCCCCCAGCGTGGCATTGCTCTCTTCCCTTCCGCGCTTCACGCTCTCCCTGCTCGCACTGGGCTGTTCGTCCTGCCCTGATTCCCCGGGCTGGACGCTGCCTCGTGAGTGTTCACCTACCGATGGTGTTTATGGTCATCTTTCGTCCATCCGGTGTGTCCGGGCGGCCACTCGCCACCAGCGTCTCGTGTGGACACACCGGGCCCGAGCCCGCCTGTCCCCGCGCTGTTCCTTGAGGGCCTCGCTCCCACTATCCCACCACGTGGCACTTGCTTCATCCGCAGTTGTCCCCACGTTTTGTGGCTCACACACACATGCACCTTTGTTGTTAAACGCTCTCAGGCACAGCGTGTTTCCTGACCACCAGCCACCTGGTGCAGGTCGGGAGTGTGCGTGTCAGGCCCCTCCCAGGCACCGCATCCCAAGGTCCCCGGTCCCTTGATTTCCGTCCCCGTCAAGTAGTCTGGTCTGTTTTTACACTTTGTGTAGGTGGCGCTGATGGAGGCCTTTCCCATCCCCTGGCACAGGCTCTGGTGGGCTTTCCTTGCATGCTTCTGTGCACAGGGAGCCTTGCTTGTGGCCTGGTGCCTGTGCTTGGTGAAAGTGTGTCACTGCGTGGTCAGTGGGGGTGCCCACGCCGTGCCGTGTCCCTGTGCCAGGCAGGAGTCCAGAGCCTCTGCTTCCCTCCCTCCCCTGTGTCCCTGCAGGTGACCGGGCTGCGTACTGCAGGGCGGCCAACAAGAAGGTCATGGATGTGATAAACTCGGCCAGGGCCCGCCAGCAAGTGCTGCACGCCCAGACCTTCCACGGCGACTCCCTTTTGGCCCAGGAGGACGCAGCGGCCGCTGGTGACCGGAGGCCGGCCCCCGACACCTGGATTTACCCGCTGATCCAGATGAAGCCCTTTGAGATCCAGATCGACGAGATTGTCACCGAGACCCTGCTGACAGAGGCTGAGCGGGGCGCCAAGGTCTACCTCACCACCGGCTACTTCAACCTGACCCAAGCCTACATGGACCTGGTCTTGGGCACGCGGGCCGAGTACCAGATCTTGTTGGCCTCCCCAGAGGTCAACGGCTTCTTCGGGGCCAAGGGGGTGGCCGGTGCCATCCCGGCTGCCTATGTGCACATCGAGCGGCAGTTCTACGGCGAGGTGTGCAGCCTGGGGCAGCAGGAGCGGGTGCGGCTGCAGGAGTACCGGCGCAGGGGCTGGACGTTCCACGCCAAAGGTACACGCGGCAGCCAGCACGGCCCTCCTGTCCTGGGCGCCCGTGCTGCACCCTCTCCTCCGAGCGCGCCCCGGTCACACCAGGTTCTCCCTTTTATGCGCCCAGAAGTTAGAGGCTCCCGTGACTTGGGTGGCTGTTCTAGAAAGTGTCCACGTAACTTCTCTGATGGGTGAAAAGGTGCGTGATGCCGCCTTCCCATGGTCCTCGGAGTTTGCCTTCGTTGGCTGTGCCGTTTTCAGGGACGGAGGAGTCGTTAGGGATTATTTAAATTTGGTGTTCAGCAGCCTGGTTTTTCAGTCTTTGCCTCGCCCCCGCGCTGCTTCTTCCCCTGGGTGAATCCTTTTTTTCATGGCCGAGAAGGTCGATGCCCTGTCTTTTCTGTTCTTAGCCGCATGGCGCTGCCCATATGTGGGTCGTGGTCTGAGCCGTATGTGGGGTGCGATCCCCGTGGGCATCGGCAAGCATTTGGGGGAGCCCGCACGTGCGGTGATCCCAGGGACGGTCTGAGATGGGACAGATGGCTTTAAAACCTTGTGCTTAGCGGAGGGGTCGTCCCCACCGCTGCGTCGTGGTGCGAGGACACCCGCGTCACGTGTGTCACTCCTTCCCGTGCTCCACGGGCCACAGTCCTGTGTCTCAAGGAACAGTGGCTCTCACAGAGAGCCCTGGCCGCGAATGAAGTGCGTGGCTTGTCTGGCTTCTCTTTGGTGGTCCAGAGGCCTCTTGTGCTGGCCCTGGAATCTTGCGGAAGGGCTGACTGAGGAGGGAGGGGGTGGTGGTGCCTCAGCCTCTGGTCTCGGACGGGGAGTCCAGGCTGCAGAGTCCCGCGGCCACTTACCTGTGTTTAGGTTTGAGGTCCTTCTGGGATCATTGGGTGGAACTCTTTTTTATTACATCGGTGCTTCCACTTGCGGGTACGTGATGAGGAAACGAAAGCCCGGACTGCCCTAGACCTGGATCCACTTTCTGGGGACGAATCCAACGTGGCATTAAAAAACAAACAAACCTCTCCAGCAGTTTCTGATGCCTCTAGAATCAGTGTCACAGCTCAGACTGGTGAAGCTTCTGGCCCAGGGGGTTGTTCCCACTTCCCACTGGGAGGCCCCGGGGTGTGGATGTGAACTGTCCCAGCCAGCTGGCGGGCGGGCTGAGCCGGGCAGGTGGGGTGGCCCGTGAGGGTGTGGGGAGTGTCTTTGGATCAGGTTTGTTACTTACGGGAACAACAGCGGTGCCTCGGCGTGGGGTGTCGAAGACGGATGGCTGGACAGCGGAAGAAGCTTTGCTCTTCTGAGAGGACACAGGTACCCTGGGAGCTGTGCGGGGCCACCTAGTGGGCGCCCGCTCCCGGTCTGTCCCAGGGCCCCCAGCTCAGCCTGGCCTGACGGCTGTGACTCGGCTGGGGGTTATTTCCCTGAAGCCGCACTGATAAACGTGCAGCGACTCCCCAGTTACCATTGAAACAGAAACACCCAACCGGCTTTTCCAGTGCGTCTCGCCTTTTCCCGGACTGGCATGCTTGTGCTCTCTGCCCGCCTCGGGTGGGGCCCTGCACGCCCGGAGCACCGGATTAGAGGGGAAGGCCGGCATCGCAGGCACGTGTGTGACGAACCAAGAGAATGGGGGATGGGTCCACGAGGAGGAACGAGGGCTCAGAGACCCCTCAGTGCTGGAGAGCCCAGGGTCTTCTCCTGTGACAGTAACTGGTCCTGGGGGGTCGTTAGTCGGCCCCCTTCTCTGGCTCATCCTTGGATGCTGACTCTCCCCAGCAGGGCCATGGAGAGGAGCTGGCGGGGGGTGGTGGGGGGATGGCTGGGCGTGCTGCCCACCCTTGGCCAGGCCTGTGCTGGGGATAGTGGAGCATCTGTCTGTTCCTGTCGATGGCTGAGTAGCCAGTACCTGATGGCCTTATTCAGGCCCCCGCAGGGCAGGCCTGGCTGATCTCGGCCCCCACTGCTCCTAGAAGCCCTCGGTGAGGAGAGGGAGCTGGGTCCCACGTTCACTGAGTGCATGTCCTTGTGTGTCCCCCCACCCCCACCCTGGGAGTCAGGCAGGGAGGGGCTCTGTGTTCAACCAGCTGGTGACCTCGTGAGTGTGGCAATGCAGGGACTCTGCGTGGTCCCTGCCCGTGGGAAGCCAAAGGCTGTCGGGGGGCGTCCTCGTGGAAGTGAGCACACTGGTCAGCAGGTGCCAGGGGAAGGCAGGAAGTTCCAGGGGCAGGGGTGCATCCTTCATTGAGGAGCCTGACCTGGGGCTGAATCCCACGACCCTGGGATCATGACCTGAGCCGAAATCCAGAGTCGGCCGCTCAGCCGAGTGAGGCTCCCAGGTGCCCCTCCACCACATTTTCATTTTGCCTCAAAGTCCCAGAGGCCTTTTCACTATGTAAGGCACATACTCTAGAGAGTTTTGCCACGTGGTCTGGTTTTTTAGGGCTTTTGCAAAGGCCACCTCTTTGGGATGCCACGGAGGCCCTGTGTGTGCCATCCGTCCTGGAGGCCCCAGATTTGGAGTCTTGAAACCTTGTTTTCTGCCCAGGTTTAACTTTGGCAGAAGGGGAGGGACCTGGTTCCATGAAGTGGCCGTGTGGCGGCCAGCCGGCGGGGAGAGGCGTCCGGGGGGCCACGGCGTGGATGCCCGCGTGCTGCAGGGGAGCAGCAGGTGGACGGGCCAAGGGAGGTCCTGCGGCTCTTGGCGAGGAGAGCGTCCTTGTCACCTGGGGTTTTGTTGCTGCTCCGCCTCTGGGTCTGGGCAGGATGCTGCCGAAGCTGGAGGCCGGTGGGTCCACAGTAGACAGGAGTCACCTGGCAGCTCTTCTGGGCAGTTTCCTGTTGCCAGGCCCTCGCTCCTTCCCCGGCAGGTGAGGTTCCAGGAGGTTCCATGAGTGGGAAACACCGTGAGTGCTGCCGTCAGGCCACTCGAGGAGGCACTAGGGTCTGTCCCTGCTTCTGTTTACCATGAGGGCGTTAGTGCCTGGCACGGCACTTCGCGGCTCGGGTATTTATTTTTTCCCTTTTAAGTGATAATTTATGCTCTTATTTTATGTGTTTACTTCCCGAAGACTTAATTTCTTTAGAGCAGTTTGGGTTCAGAGCAAAATTGAGAGGAAGGTACAGAGCTTGCCCATAGCCCTCCCCAGCCCCCCCTCCCGTCAGCATCCAGGACCAGAACGGCCCATTTCCTCCTCACCCACGAGCCGACCTTGACGCGGCGGTGTCACCCAGAGTCCACGCTTTATCCTGAGGCCCATCGTGCGTTCAGGAGTTCACATGGATGGGGACGTGTGTCCATTGTCACAGCGTGATACGGACGGTTTCACTGCCCCCCCTCACCCTCTTCCCCCCAAACCCTGGCAGCCAGTGGTCCTTTTACTGCTTCCACGTTTTCACCGTTTCCAGAAGGTCATACAGTTGGAATCACAGTCTGGCTTTTTCAGGTTGGCTTCTTTCATTTAGTGACATGGGTTTAAGGTTCTTAAACCTTCTGTCTTTTCATGGCTTCACAGCTCTTTACAGCCTTTAGTGCTAAGTAACATTCTGTTGTCTGGATGGACCGCAATTTACCCCTCCCCCCACTGCTGAAGGGCATCTCCGCTGCTGCAGGGATTCCCCCTTTGAAACCTGGTCCCAGGGGGAAGTGGGGTGCAGGGGCGAGGTGCAGAGGGACCTTGTCAGCACTTGTGAGCACTGTGCCCCCCACGTGCTGTGCCAACGAGCTCACCTTTTTAGGTCTTGGAGAGGAAGCAGCCCAGGGGCGCCTGAGTGGGGGTGGTGTGTGTGTGTGTGTGTCCGTGTGTCCGTGTTCCCTGCTGCTCCCCTCTCCTGCTCCCAGCAGGGGAGTGGCCCGAACACAAGGCACCCCGGCAGCCCCATCAGGCAGGGGCCACGTCCACACTGGAGGACGTCTCGGGCGGGATCAGAAAATGAGGTGTAGCCTTGATTTCATCTGGGTGTGGTGTCCCGGCACTGGAGCGCGGTGTGTGGCGAGGGCGGGGCTGGGCCGTGGGATTAAGAGATTTCTGGCTCCTGCTGACAGAGGGATCTGTTAATGATTGTGAGAATTGTCACTATTTTTACTGCTTTCCCGACAGGCCGGTTGGCATAGCTCCCTAAGGTGAGCTTGCAGTGCCAGCCGGGCAGCCGCACCCCGTGTGCCCAGGGCACGCGTGTCTCCCCTGGGCGCCAGCAGGCGTGCACCGGGCCCGGCAGCCTCTGGAAGTGGCCCGGAGTGCAGGAGTGCCGCAACGGGCGCTTCGTCCTCTGTGGGCAGGCTCCTGTTCCCGGGTGTTTTTACAGGGGTCCGAGAGCCTCTGACACTTATTGCAGAATTTTGTGGCAGAGATGAAGGGGGGGGTCACGTAAGTTAAAATTTTCCTTGGGGTGATACTCAGAGAAGGCCTCTAACCAGACACGTTCCTGAGCTCTTGCTTCAGAACTCAGAGCTTTTTATACTTCATCATGTGTCAGAAGATGCACTTTTGGCCTCATTTATTTTGTTTAAACAAATATTTATCGAGTGTCTGTTGTGTGCCAGGCAGCATTCAAAGTTGGGAATAAGTCACTGGGGATGAGGCAGGCCCCTTCCCTCCCAGGCTGTCTGGTTTAATAGCAGGCAGGTAATGGGCCGATGAATCTATTCAGGTACGATGTCCAGTGGTGGAAAGGGTTACGGAGAAGACCAGAGCAGGGGGAGGGGGCAGAGCTGTTAAATGGGGGCTCGGCAAGGCCTCTCTGGAGGGGACCCTGGACACAGTCCCCAGCCCAGGGGTGCGGGTGGGGGGGGCAGGACCGCCGAGACCCTGCATGGCACGAAGAGCGAGGGGCCCGGCTCGGGGACAGTGCGGCTGGAAGGTGGCCGGGCCCCTCAGGAAGGCTCAGAGGCCTGGTGAGTGAGCGCGTGGGAGCTGTTGGGCCACCTGGTTTACTCTGTGGCACGACACTGGGACCTGGGACCATGCGCAGAAGGGACTGGAGGTGCAGGCAGAGCAGCCAGAGGCGGCCCGGGGACGGTGGCGGGGGGGGGGGCTCTCCTTCCGGAGCCTGGAGCCAGCAGCAGCCCCTGGTCTCGTCCAGTCATCTGTGTCCCCCTGAGATGCTCCCTGGGGGCCCGAGGACCGCCCGCGGCCAGTCCCCTCCTGGCCGCCAGTGCTGCCCTCAGTGCTGTGGCTTCAGCTGCAGTGTGTGGCGGGCCCTAGATTGATGATGGTGTTGAGCACAAAGGTCAGGCCCCGGGCTTGATAATGGGCTTATGGCCCTGCTGGGAAGTGCACCCGGCACCCGCCCCGCCTCTCCCCTTCCCTGTATGCTCAGGCCCAGAGCAGGGATGCGCCCTCTTTGGTCCCTCCCTGATTGAAAGTTTCCCAGCTGTCCCTGGGGCCTAGCCCAGGGGTGAGATGCCCGCCTTGCGGAGCTTTGCACCCAGGGGGGCTGGCTGTTCCTGGGGCTGCATCCTGAGCCCTGGGGTACTGGACGGTGTGGCCTCGCCGTCTGTGGTCTTTATCTTCTTTGGGTGGAGAAAGATTGGGGTCCACGTGGGCCTACAGAGGAAATGGTGGAGTGGTCACAGGCTGCGAGACCCCCTTCACTTGCGCGTGTCGTCCCGGAGGCTGGCCTGGGCCAGAGGGCAAGGTGTCGGTCCTGCCTTCCCAACGGGGCGACAGCGCCGGGAGGGTGCTGGAAAGATCCAGTCTTGCCGCACGTGAAGCCCAGGGACGCCTACGTGCAGTGCACGCACAGACGGCGTGTCTGAGAACAAGAGGGCCTTCGGGCTGGAGATGAGGGAAAACGGGTCTGCAGAAGCTCTTGGGGGCCGGTAACCGGGGCAGACTGAGCAGTGGTGATGGGCTCAGGAGCTGTGGGAGGGCCCCCCCGGGTGCCTCCTGAGGAAGCCACCTACATTTAGGCAGATTCTCAGGAACAAAGTTTCCACAGGACCAGGTCCTATTGGCCTTCCCCACACGCCCTGTAGTCCAGGAGCCTTGGGTACACACACTCAGGTGACACGATTCACATCCGCCGTAGCTCACCCCCCCCCCCCCCCCGGGAGCTGGGCTCCCTGCCGCTCACTGTCCCTGTCCTGTGGGAGTGGGCTTGGGAGAGGTGGCTGGGTGGGCAGCACTCAGCAGCCCCGGTGCTTCTCAGCCTTTCTGAGTCCATCTCGAGAGCTGGAACAGCAGTGGCAGGGGGGCCTTTCTTCCCGTCCCCGGGCCTGTCCCCCCAGCTCCAGGCTCTGGAGAGGAGGGGCGGGAGAGGCGGAGCCTGGCGTAGGCAGAGAGCCAGAGCTGCAGGGGGCCGGGCGCGGCCATTCCGCCTGGACGTCCCTGGGCGTCTGGCCCACCGCGAGGTCTCTTGATACGAGGTAAGGGGAGTCGAGTGGTCGCCTGTGCGGCAGGGGCCCCGCGGGACGGTGCAGTTGCCTGAGCGCTACACGCAGGCGGGCGGCTTTGATGTGGCCCCTGTGTGGGGAGCGGGGGTCGGGCACGTTACAGGAACAGGCAGCAGGGCGTCGTCATCTCTTACCCAAGATATTCTTGGAAATGCTCTTGCTCTGAGTGAGAATTAGGAAATGGTCTTCTATTTTAGGCTCCTTGGTGTGTATTACACGTCGGTGATTCGCTCACAATGGTCATGCGCGCCTGCGGGCCCTTTGAAAGGGCCGTGCTGGTAGAGGAGAGACCAGCCGTGGTGGGAGGGTGCGAGGAGGCTGCGCGGGGGAGCCCTGTGGGGCCGCTGCGGCCGCCTTGGGCACCGGACGTCGGGCCGGGTTTTCTGGGCTGAGTGCTCTTGGTGTAATGTGCAGGCAAAGCCAGGGGCCAGGCCCAGGTCTGGGGTCCCGTAGGAGGAAGGAAGTGTAGGGCGGCGGGTGCCCTGGGGAGGTCTGGTTTGGGACGTCGTCTTTTCAGAAGTAGTGGTAAGGGGCACAGGGCCGTGTAGCAGGTCTGGGACTCGGTGGGTGGGGGGCACAGCGGACCACCTGCCTTTGTCTGTTTCAGGAGATGGTTCGGGATTCAGAGAGAACCCACAGCCTTCGTGACAGAGCGTGCTGGGGGACGAGGCAGGACCCTGTCCCCCATGGCTGCTCACGCTCTGGCTGGGCTGTCGGCTGCCTCATTTCCTAGCAAAACAGGGGAAACTGCGTTCTCTGCGGTGGGATAGAAACTTACAGCGCCTCTTAGGTTCTCTGCTCCGCTGGCCTCTAGTGGGCTTTGCCTGTCTGCTTGGATGTCCCCGAGTCCCCAGCAGGCACTCACTTCTGGTGTCCCTTTGGGTGCAGTGTGTCGGCAGCCTGAGACGGAGAATTGCGTGTCCCTGGTGGGAAGGGCTGCAGAATGGAGTGAGCTTCTTACCAGGAGCCTCTGTCACCTCGCGTGACAGCCCTGTGCCTGCGGGCTTGGGGAGAAGGGTCTCTGTTCCCTCATCCACCGTCTTAGCACAGCAGGGGTGTCTTTCCCGAGAAGCAGGTGTGGACTGGACTCTGGGGCGTTTCGTCCCCTCGGTGCTCGAGGCAGGACCGTGGATCCTCTGGCCAGGGTGGGTTTCACGTCTCAGTGGCCAAGATGTGGCTGAGGCGGTTCGGAGAGGGGACTGGAGGCCCCTAGGTCTCTGGGAGGGGCTGCTGCGCGGGGGGGTGAGAGGGAACCCTGGAGAACCCACTTGTCGCCGTGCCCGGGCAAGGGACGCGGGGGGCCTGCCTTCCTGGCGGCGCCCGGGTGGAGAGCGCGTCCTGCCTGGCGACTCCTTCCCGCCAGGGCTGCTTTTGTCTTAGGTCGAACGAAGCGAAGTGTGGAGAGGCCCTCGGCAGATGCTCATGTCCTGTCTGCACGTTTCCTTTTCCCTGCAGGCCTCTGGCTGTACCTGGCAGGGAGCGCCCTGCCCTGCCTCACGCTGATTGGCTCTCCTAATTTTGGGTACAGGTCGGTTCACCGGGACCTGGAGGCCCAGATCGCCATAGTGACGGAGAGCCGGGCCCTGCAGCAGCAGCTTCACCAGGTGGGTTGGGGTGAAGGGGTGTTCTAGGGCGGGTGGGGGGGCTGGCTGGGTGCTCCGCCCTGCTCTCATCACCGGGTCCCCCGAGAGCCGTCTCCACCATCACCTCCTGTATGAGAAAGAACCGTGTCATCCAAGTCTGCTGGAGGGGGGGCGGGGGGCGGTCCTGAGAGGAGCCTGCGGCGGGGCCACCCTGAGAGGTTCCCGCTCCCCCTATAGGGGCTGCTGCCCCACCGCCCCGGGGCGGCGGGGGGGGGATCCTTCCAGTGCTGGAGGAAGGCGCTCTTCTCACAGGGACATGGACACATTAGGAACAAGCCTCCTGTAAGAACGCAGGTCCCAGTGCAGGGCCGCAGCGGGGAGGAGCCAGGCTCACTCGGGCCCGGGAGCCTCGGGCAGGAAGGCTCGCCCCGCTGGCAGGAAGGGTCCTGGGGAGCCAGTGTCTCTGCCAGGAGATGCAGAGAAGAGGCAGACCTTGTGAGGAGCCCCGAGCACCAGAGCAGAGGGGCTTTGTGGAGAACTGAGTCCTTGCAAGGCCCAACGCGTGGATGGCCCCGTTCCTGGGCTCACGGGCCCCAGCGTCCCTGTGCACTCAGCGCCTGGGTTCTGTCTCTCTCGCTCCCCAGTGGCTTCCCTTGGGAGGGTTCTGGCTTGGGGCTGCACGCACAGGAGGCGGGGGGGCGGAGTGTGGAGGTGGGCGGTGTGCGGGGCCCAACCGAAACTCGGGGCTGCGTCCCCTCCCTCCCCCCGCCAGGGCAGGGGGATGGCGATTGGCGGAACAGGTCCCCTTCTCCTTGAGGACTTCCAGCGTCTTGGAATTTCTGTGCGATTTGCCTAATGCTTGCAGTTGGGGCAGGGCTTCTGCCATCGCTCCTTCGAGCGTGGGAGGCGGGGCGTGCTCTGGCGGCTCGGCACAGGGTAGGCCGGCCGTCGGGCACAGGTGGCCCTGCTTGGAAGTGGGACGAGCAGCCCTTTGTCCTGAGCTGGGGTTGGCGACCCTGGGCCCCGTGCTGCCGGCTGGCTGGTGGCCGCCATCGGGCCAGAGAAGCAGGGGGAGGGGGAGATGCTGGCTTCCTCACCAGGGCGGGGACGCAGCTGTGTTGGCTCTCTTCCTACGGTGTAAGATTCTACTTAACGTTCAGAGGAAAACAGCTACTGAGAATTCACGAGTGCGCTCGGGGGACCCTGTGACTGCCTGGGGCAGTGCTGCTGGACTTTGGAGAGCACCAGCACCGAGCCTGCGCGGGAGACCAGGGCGGTGCTGTGGGCTTGTGAATTTGTGACCTTTACAGCAAAGCCTTTCCATGGAAGGTGCCAGCTTCCCTCCTGAGTCATAGGAATACAGATAACGCTGCTGTAGGCCAGACCTCAGAAGCTTCGGCTATTGACTTTGTTCAGCTTTTATTCTCCAGTGTTTGGGAATTAGTGTTGCGAAACTGTTGGAGCCTTTGTTGCTGGACGAGGAAATGGTAACTGCCTCGTTCCCCAGGGCCTGACTTCTGCCATCTGGGAGCCCTGTCAGCCACCAGTGGGGCCTTGGTGCCGGGAAGGCCTTCGCCACCAGGGGCGAGAGGAAGTGGCAGGGGCGGTGTTCTGGGTGGCCAGCGCGCGATCCGATCCGCGCAGCCCAGTTTTTGCTACCGTGAGGCTTCCAGAAAATGAGGAAGCCCCACAGCTGAGGCTCCAGCTGGGGTCGCTGGTGTGAAAGGGACAGGGCTGCGCCCCGGTGGGGTCTGCTGGACTTGTGTGAACTTCTGCCCTGGGTCAGCGGACAGTTGTGGCTGTGAACTTGGCCTTGGGCCGGGATGAGTTCGCCGCGATCTGGGTTGGTTTGTGGGGGGCATGTGCTCAGAGCAGGGCTGTGCTCAGGGTCCTGGTACCAGCTGCTCTCCCCCGCTGGCCGAGGAAGGGGATTGAACCCACATCCTGGACCTTGAGAAGAGCTGGGCCGGTTGTGGTCAGGAGATCTTTTCCCAAATGACATATTTGGGATATTTTCCTTTTCTTCCCAAACCTGAATCCCAGGGGTTTTTATTTAGGTTGTGGGAGGGCGGGTAGTTCACGCTGCTGCCACAGCTCTTCCGCTCCTCAGGGGCACATTGATTTCTGTGGCTTTGGAATGCAGAAGCACATTTCTAGATAATTCCACCTGTGTGCGTGCATGCTGGGACTTCGCCCTCCCCCCACCCCGCCAGGTGGCCCATGCAGTGCCCGATGCTGGGGCTGTCCAGCCATACCACTGCCCCACAGCCCAGAAAGTCCCTAAAACCCCGGCTGTCAGTGTCCCCGCTCCCTCTTCTCCTTGGGATATACTGGGAAGGGTCCTATTTGTAGCACGCCGGGCACTGGGTGTAGAGACAGATTTTTATCAGAATCCTAAGTCCCTCCCTTGACTTCGTACACACGATAAAAACTGAAAGCTTCCTGGTTTTGTTCAGAGAACATGGTTTACCACTTGTGACCCAAGAAAGACTCCCTTGAACAGCATTGTGACCTTGAGCAGCTGACTTCCTTCTCCAGCCCTGTTGTGGGGTCTGTGAGGAAACTGAAGTGTTTCTGGTAATTTAATTGAGATCTTGGCCGAGGGTTCATTTGCACACATAGAGCTGGAGCCGGGTCTGCAGAGATACCTGCACACCGGCCCCCACTGCGTGGCGAAGGCCGTGGGCCCGAGAACCGTGCAGGACAAGTAAAGTCGGGGCCCTGGTCTGCCCGGCCCTCCACGGGAAAGCTGTGGGCACTTCCTGGAGCTTTCTCCAGAACACGTGTTCCGTGCCCTGCTCTCGCTGGGGGCGCTGGGTCGTCCCCCCGCCCCGCCCCCGGGGAAGGGAGCGTGAGCAGCCCCCTCCCCGTGCTCCTCCTGCCGCTGCCACTGCTGCTGCAGTCAGTGGGCGGTGCTTTCAAGGCCATTCTGTCCAGTCTGTATGATGTTGTGTGATAGTCTGGCATCTTCTAGGCCGAGTGACGCCAGATCCAGAGCAGGACCGCGCGCCCAGCCCCGAGCGGTGGAAGCAGTCAGGGCCGCTTTCCCGCTGCCACTTCAGATCGCTTGTCGATGGGAGCGTGGGACTCGGGTGCGTTGTTTTAAAAAAAAAACAAACAAAAAACCGCTTCTTCTCAGAGATTCTAAGCACAGCTTAAGACGAGGTTTCTTTATGTGTTTTTTAATTTGTTTTTAAATACAAAGTAAACATGCATTGTGGGTGTTAAGAATTGGAAGACGCCCACCCCTCCATCCATGGCAGTCATTCAGAGGACTCCTCTCCTCCAGTGTCCGTGAGGTGTAGCTGGTTTGATTCTTTTTAATGACGTTAGGATTATATTCTCTGTGTCGTTCTTCTAGAACACGATTATGTCGTGGTGAATGCTGGTTTGTCATGTGGGTTTATTATATTTAATTAGTTGGTGTTGGACATTTAGGTGGTTTCCAGTTTCTCCCCTATTTATAAATGTTGCTGGGACGGATATCAGCATACAAGAATCTTGAGCGCATAGTTATTTTCTTGGGATAAAATATTATTTTAAAAAAGTTTATTTTGGGAGAGAGAGCCAGCAAGTGTGTGAAGGGCAGAGAGGGAGGGAGGGAGAGAATCCCAAGCAGGCTCCACGCTGTCGGCGCAGAGCCCGATGTAGGGGTCTGTGTCACGAACTGTGAGATCATGACTTGAGCCGAAATCAAGAGTCGCACACTTAATCGACCAAGCCACGCAGGGGCCCCTTTCTTGGGCCGAGTTCGTGCACACGGAGCTTCCTAAGGCTTTCATACCTGTTGCTCTCTAGAAAGATGGGGTGACCCCGTTACCTGTTGCTCTCTAGAAAGATGGGGTGACCCCGTTTCCGTCGGCAGCACATGGGGATGCCTGTTTCCTCGACCTCTGTCGACACAGGGTCACGATTATTACAAAGCCACATTTTGCCGACTTAAGAAAAACTGTCCCGCTTAAAAATCGTGTCTTTGAGTTGCTCTGCCTCATTTAGTGAGGGGACTTGTGAGTATCGGTGCTACTGGCTGCACTTGCCCTCCGCCTTCTCCCTTCTGTACACATGTGTGTCTTGAGAGCACAGAAGCTGGGACTTCCGGGTTGCTGGCCAAGGAAGGGGTGCCGGCGGCCCCTCCTGCGCCCAGGTGGCTCCTCGGGTCGTGTTACCCGGTGCCGCAGGAGGCCCTGATGGCTGTTTGTCGCTCTTCCTCAGGAGCAGGAGCAGCTTTACCTGCGCTCAGGTGTGGTGTCCTCCGCCACCTTCGAGCAGCCCAGCCGGCAGGTGAAGCTCTGGGTGAAGATGGTGACTCCGCAGATCAAGAACTTCTTCTGAGGATGGACAGGTGCGGCCTGGCGAGGCCACGCATGGGGCTGGTGGCTTACGCCTCGGGGTGGGGGGGTTGCCAGGACCCCTCGCAGGAGCCCGAGGGCTCTGTCTCTCTCTGGTCACATGGTCGGCATCCAGGTTGTTGAGGCCCGGAGCTAGATTAGGCGGCAGAGTGGGCCGGGGTGACGGCGGCAGGAGGGGCGCTTGGAGCTGCCGTGTTCTGGTGACAGGACACGCTCTGCCCCCCCACGAGGAGCCTGCCACCAGGGATCTGCGCACGGTGGCTGCCACTTGGTGCCCAGAGCCGTGGGCTGCGTTCTCAGGGGGCCGCGAGCCGGGCTGTGGGGAGGCCGGATGGGGCGCCGGGCAGGTGCAGCTGCCGGTAGAGGGGGGCCTCCCCCGAGTGAGCCCGCCCTCGCCCCCAGACGCTCCCCGTGGACCATCTCCGGCTCTGGGTGGGGGTGCGGGGAAGGGGGAGTGGGGCTCAGGTGGCAGCACAGGGGTGTGGTGGGGGCTCCCTTGGGTGCTGGTGCCGCACTTCTTTCCTTGAAACCACATTGTGTTTTGCGTCATCGTTTAGTTTTTCCTCTATTTTAATTACTTTTAATTTTATTCAAATTTAGAAAGCATGGCTAGAAAACTGACAGACTGCAGCTGTTTCCTGCCCTCTCTCCCTCGCCCTCCCCCGCAGCCACTTTAGACTCTTTTATCTGTGTTTTTTTTTTTTTTTTTGACATTTACATACTGGTCCCTGTTTCTAGAGAACGTGCATATATTGCCATTTCTCTTCCCCCCCAAATGTAGTGTCCCTTGTTTCATAAAACACCCCACCCAGACGTACACCAGTGACCTGAGCGACGTCAGCAAGGGTCCCTTAGTGTCACCAGGTGCCTCAAAGGTGCTCACAGTTGCAGCTGTCTCAGAAGTATTTTTATTTCCTTAAGATTTTTCCACGCGTTTGACTTGAAGTTCCAGTGACCGTCCACTTGTGGCCTGGTGACCTGTCAGCCAAATGTCCTTTCATCTGTGGGCTCCCCTCAATTTTTTCCTTTGCGAGTCAGTGAGCCCTTTTATTGGATCTGCTCTAAACACCTCACAGCAGGTCATCTTCAAAACCCACGTCCTGTCCTGTCGTGCAGATTTGTCAGAGGCCAGGGTCCCTGCCCGCCTCGTCTCCAGGGGTGGATTGCAAAACCTGCTGCCCAATCTCTTCATCTCCAGGTGCTCGAACCTTGCACAGCGAGATCCTCTGGAGGGGGACACATGGCCTCCCGTCCCTGCGCGGTGCCCCAGAAGCACCTTCACGTGTGTCCCTCACAGGGGCTGGCGGCTGCCACTGGTCCCCTTCCGGCCTCGCCCGCACGGTCTGGCTGTGTGCACGGGGCGCTCCGGCGCCTCGTCTTGGCCTGAGAGCGCCTGCGGCCGCTCCCCCCTGCGCAGGGCCAGCAGACGCGCAGGCTTCCGTGGTGTGGCATCGAGGAGTCGGGGCCGCGGCACGTCCATTAACACTGTTTGCCTTCGGACTAGTTGTTAAATTGTCCTGTGGGACAATTGGACTAGAGAAGCCAAAAGAATGTGCCAGGGCATTGGGTTTCTGTTTGGAGAGAGGCTTTCGGTAAACAGCGTTCACATTCCTGCACATTCTGTGGGACCAGAGTAAACATTGTGCCACAGCCCGGCTTGAGCAATCGGGGCCTGTGCCCTCCACGCTCAGTGGCTCCCTTTGTCTCAGCTAATTCCCTCAGGACGTCCCTGGGCGCTCTCCCAGCCCTGTGCTCTCTGCCAGCCCCTCCGGTCCCCCAGGAGATGGGGGCTCAGGGCAGAGAGTAGGGCACTGCAGGTGGGCACCGTCAGACGCAGGGCAGGCTTCAGGCCACTCCACTCTCCCCGGTACCAGATTGCAACCCGGAGGTGAATACTGTCTTAGAAACTTGGGAGATCATTCTGTTGGCTGCTTGCAATACGTGCGGAATAAATTGCTGTTTTGTTTCAGGCTCTAAAGGCAAATTGGAAAACCTTCCCATTTTGTGGTTATTACCAGGGATTAAAAATGAGTTGCCTGGTGGCCACTGGTAGTTTTCTCTCTGTCAGAGGAGTGGCTGGCTCCCTGGTCCTCGGGCGCCCCCTCTGGCTCCCTGGCCCTCCGGCTTGGACACGGAGGGCAGCAGCGACCCCTCCTGGCCAGCAGAGTGGTGGCCCAGGAGCCTGGCCCGGTGGCCCAGAGTCCTGCGGGCCTTGAGGGGCGGCCCCAAAGGGCTTGGACCCTCCATCTCCACAGGAGGATTTGATGGGTACTTCTCCATCTTTTATGAGCTCCCGGGCCCCAGGGCTGCTGTGCATTGTCACCCTCAGAATTCCATCTTCTGGGGTCTCTGCTCCCGTGGCTCTGGTGAGAATGCTTGGAAAAACATTTTCACGAAACCTCAGGATCAGACTGAGCCCGGCCCAAAGCCAGATGTTCCCAGAGGGCTCCCTGTGCTCCCCATTTAAGCCTGAGGACGTCAGGGGGCGGCCCGCGGGCCTGGCTGGCTGCCTCCCCTGCGGCCCCAGCTTTCTGGCTCCTCACTCCGTCCTTTCTTCCCACTATTCCCACCAGCCCCGAAGGGCAGCCTGCTCACGTGGCTGGAACAGCCACAGAAAGTCAGCCCCTGCGGCGTCAGCGGGGTTGTCTCTGGGCACTCACCGTGCCACCCCCCGCCGCAACTGTGTGCGGCAGGCTGTGTGCTTGGGGTGCCTTGCGTCACCGGGATGGTGCTTCTTAGTTCTGTCTCCCTGGACAAGTTTAAGGGCCTGAAACACAAACAGGCTGAGGGGCTTGTCCAAAGGGACGGGGATGTTGGCCTTCCTGTGCCCACTGCGGTGAGTGTCCCCCAGTTCACTGTGGGGGAGCCTCACCTGGCTGGAAGCCAGAGTTTCTTGGGCGCCAAGCAGCGCGCCTTGCCCAGCTTGCGTGCCGCAGTTCGGTTCTGGGGGCCCCGGGGTGGGAGGAAGGTGCCAAGTCCACTAAGGAGGGACCCTTGAGCTCAGTTACTGTGGAAGTGACAAGTCTGTGGCCTCAGAGGCCACACGTTTGAGTGTGCCCGGCATCCACGCTCACTGTGTTCTGTTCCCACGGTTTAGAAAGCGGGCAGGTGCAGCAGCAGCTCAGCCCGAGGGGAAACGTGGCCTCTGGTGTGGGCACGTCTCCAAACTCCAGTGGCAGGAGGCGGCTTTTTCCTAATTCAGAGAGGTCCTGTGTCTCTGGGAGCAGGGAACAGTGCTTCAGGGGACCGTGTGGAGGTGGCCGCTCCTATGAGGGAACACCCTGTCCCTCACTGGTGGGTGGTGTGCGTGTAGCTTCAGGCCAGAGGGCACGATGGCCACACCCAAAGCCTGCGTGCCACTTGTGGGAGGCCCTCTGGCGGGTCAGGATTTGGAGGTTGGGCTCCCGGGACGCTTGCCTCGGCAGCTGGGGACGGGGGCCTTACCCACAAGCCAGGCCCGAAGCCCGGCCCCTGTGAAACAGACAGGTCTAGCTAAGTGGCTTCACTGCTTTAATCCAGCCTGAGCCCCGCTCTTTCATGCCATCCCCTCCCCGTGGCTCTAAAGTGCCTGGATTAGAACAAAAAGCAGCCCACAGTTCCTATAAAAATAAGTGACAGTGTAAGACGGAGCTTCTGATCGCCCGTTGCAGCTGGGGTTTGGCTCCGGCCCTGGGAGGTGTGGCCCACGCTAGGCCTGGAGGAGCAGGGCCACGGCCGCCAGGATCCACTTGGCCGCTTTCTCTTTGGTCTTGAGGTTAAAGGTCCAGACGTAGGTGGGGCCGCGGATGCGTGTTTTGTACACAGGACACTCATAGATGTTCTTGGTCTCCATGCGGTCCACAGGAATGGCCTTGATGAAGATGACGGGCATGGCTGGCGTCAGCTCCTTCAGCCTTGCTTCGGCGATGACTCCAGTCTGGGTGTCCCAGCGGGCTCCTGCAGGACGGCGAGGTCAGGGTGGCCCGTGGGGTCGTGCCCGGGCGCCGCGCGGGGTGCTGGCCGTGGGCCACGGCGGGGTGCGGGGCTGGACCGTGAGTGGAGGACGGCGACGGAGTGCGCTACCCGTGGTGACCCTGCCACGTGCTTCTGAGGGCCAGCTCAGCCTGAAGCTCTCGGTGCCACCCGTTTACACATGTAACGTTTCCAGAACCTACCCATCAGCCTTCTCAACTTCAGTGGCAGGAAATAGTACCTCCAGCTGAACGTTACGGGAGATTAACGTGCCCTGATTCCCTTCGTATGTAGCGTCTAGCCTGCGTGTGCACGCACAGTGCACGTGATTACATGTATGTGCACACGGAACTTTCATTTGCCTTTAACCACACTGCTGTTTCTACCTGCCCTGTTAATGGTGTTTGTATTTCCTGTCTGTAATTCCAAAATAAACACGTAGAGCGACTCTTGCTGGCTCGTCTCTGATATGGGGACTGGGGAGCCCTGCACCCCCTAGGTAAGGGGATGACGTCAGTCGCTATGTGGGCCGGAGGTCTGAGGGACCGGGTGGCTGGTGCCCCCAGACGTCTGTCCACCCTGCGCTGTCCCTGGAGGGCCGTGGTCTGCACTGCCTTGAGACAGGCGCTCATACCACTTACGGCAAAGTGGAGGCAGGCTGGCTGGTCCCCAGAGCACCGTCAGAGCTGCGTCACCTGCTCTGGCCAGCGCCAGGCCTCCAGGCCGTGTGCCCCTTCCGCTCACCTCACCCGCCCAGCAGGACTGGCTCCAGAAGCTTCCGCAGACCGGCACCCGGTTACCTTCCATGAAGAGCCCATACACGTAGGAGCCCTCTCGGGGCGGGGCCGTCATGTCTTCTCGGTTCTTCTTGGTCACTTCCACAGACAGACACATCTTGTCCAGGGGCCACTCGTTCTTCCTGGCCATGGACTGCATGATGGCTGTGAGGAAGGACTGCGGGTTGAAGAAGCCGGCCAGCCACACGGTGGTGGGCAGGGCGAAGTCCGTTGTCCAGGCCTCGAGCTCCTGGTGGAAATGCACACGGGGCTAACACCCAGACCTTCCCGAACCGAGGCAGCTCGCAGCGGAGCCATGTGGGTGGGTCGGAGAGGCCCGGCCACCTACCTGTGCAGCGGCAGTGCCTGCTGGCTCCAGTTTGAATGAGAGAACAGGAAGAGGGGCTCCGAGGAGGGCTTAACGTTTGAGGACAAGTTGGGGGCCCAAAGGAAGCTTTGGTGGGCTGGCTCCCCCAGCGGGCACCCCCCCCCCAACTGGCCCAGGTCTTTGGGTTCTGGCGGAGGGGGCCGTGTCGGTCAACGGAACCTGCTCCGGCCTCAGACCCGCTGTCTCCTCTCTTCTGCGGGAAGCGCCCACACGGCCAGGCCCTTCCAGTCCTGCTCTGACCTGGTCAGGCCAGGCCAGCCGGGGTACCTCCGGGCCTCTAGTGAGGCACACGTCTGCCCGCCCCTCCCATCCCCCTCCTGACGGCCCAGGGTGTGGGTCTGCTGTGACTCCAGATGGTGCTTACCCTGATGCGGAGCAGCAGGTCAGCAAACCAGGCTGCCAGGCTCATCATGGAGGGATAGGCCCGGGCCACCCACGTGTCGGGCACGGTGTCGTAGAACAGGGCGATGGACAGGTCCTCCATGTCAGTCGTGATGGTCAATTCCCCCTAAGGGACAGAGGGCGCTGGTGGGCACGCAGACCTGGCCAGTCACGCACCTGGTCTCGCCTGCCCGCCCCGCCTGTGCCATGGGCCCTCGAAAGAAGGCAGTTTGGTTTGGAGCCCGGTGTGTGCCACCCTGGCCTGGCGTGGCGGGCCCGCAGCTCGGGACCAGGCTGGGCCTGCAGCGCCAGCCGGCCTCTGAAGCCGCGTCCCTGGTCCCAGGGGGCCCTTGCGTCTCACCTTCAGCCCCAGGTTCAGCTCCTTCAGTGAGCGGCGCATCTCGTTGGTGAGGATGTTCATCCTCTCGCACTCCTGGAAGGCGACCACCACGTACGGGGTCTTCTCAGCGGCCTTCGCCATGATCTCGGCCATGTTGAAGGTCTCCGGAATCTTCTCTAGGATCTCCTCCAGCACGGCCTTCACCTGGAAGTCGGTCACCGACAAGCCCCGTCACCACACGTGCCCTCCGGCCCACCTCCAGCGTCCGGGCTGGGGAGCCTGCGTTGCACACACACCACTAGGACCCCCAGAGCAAAGGGCGCTGGGGGGCGCCTGGGTCGTGGAAGTGCAGCCACACGTCTGACAAGAGGAGAGAATCTTGGCCAACAGCTTTGAATATTTGGGTTCCGTCGCCAAGACCGTGGGAGCAGCAGGCCACCCTCGCCTGGTGCCTTCAGACCCTGTGGGGACTGTGTGGCCACACCCTGCCCAGGAGTGGCCCGCACGGGGTCACGTACCCCGCTGCAGTCAGGAGACGTGTGGGGTCAGTCGTCACACCAAGAAAGGGTCCTGAGGCCTCTCAGCCCTGAGGGTCTTGGGTTCCAGAATTCCATCTACCTCCGGAAAGCCCACTAACTACTTAGCTGTGTGTTACTAGAACTTCCCCAGAATTTACTAAACGGCGTGAAGGTGCTGATTGCACACGAGCTGGCAGGGGTGGCCCGGGCAGGTGGGAGTGCGTGGAGGGGCCTTCTGTTGCCGGGTTGTGTGTTACTGGGGTATGCCCACCGTGGTCCCTCAGCTCCCGGGAGGGACTGTTACGCGTCCAGCCATCTGGTGCGCTTCCTGCTCACGGGCGCGAGGCTGTGGGGAGGGGGGCCGCCCAGGAGCCCTCCCCACTGGGGCCTGTCAGCCGGCCCGCAGCCCCAGCCCCCTTCCTGGGGGTGCGCTTCCCGACCCCAGGTTCTGGGCCCCGCCCCTCTGCGCCGCTGGGCTGGGCGCCGGGCCTCCTGCCTTCTCCTCGCGAGATACTCCGGTGCCTGCTCCCGAGTCCGTCTCTTTGGGCTGCATCTCCAGGACCGTCCGGAACAGCTTCTCTGAGGTGACCGTCAAAAAGCCAATCTCTGCGTTGGGGTGCAGGCCGTACAGGTAGGGACTCTCGGGGGGCAGGTTCTCGTCGATGTACTCGTGGTAACCCTGCAGAGGCGCGCTCGGTGAGCAGGCCGCCAGGGGACCCGTGTCTGCCGTTGACGATGCCTTCCTGACCAGAACGTTCTGCCCAGGCCCCCGCTGGTTCTCCGATCCCCCCCCCCCCCCGGCCACATGAACGAAGGCTCCGTGGCTTCTTGCCGCCGTTGCGTCACAGGGCGAGCTCGTGTCCCCGAGCAAGGGGCCCCCTCACCTTGTAGTCCAGGTTGGGGGGGATCTGGAAGCCCGGGGCCAGCAGGGTCTCGCCTTCCAGCATCTCGGCGCGGACGTACTCCGCCAGGTACGTCCTGCAGAGCCGGCGGTCCCAGTCGTCCGTGATGTGGCCGCCGTACATGATTTCTCCAAACAGGTAGCGCAGGTCGTCCCAGGGCACCTGAGGGAGGACCGGCGGGCAGCCGTCAGCGTGAGGCAGGGCCGCCCCCCCCGCCCCCCCACCCCGTCCTTCGGTGTCGGAGCCCGCGGCCAGCCCCGCGCGGCGGAGTCCCGCCTTCTCTGGCGCGGGTCCCCAGCTGCTCCCCTCTGCTCGCAGCCTGGCCTCTGTGTCCACGACCTCCGGCCCCGAGGCCCACCCTGCAGCCCCAAGTTGTGTCCCCGCTCGGAAATGTGCACCACCCGTGACAGCGCACGCTGGCCACCTGACGAGAGCGGTTTAATTCCGTGCTGACGGGGTGTGGACGCTCGGGCGCCATTTCTGTCGGCCCATCGGTCTGTGCAGTGTGTCCGTCCAGTGGGTCTTCCTTCCATCCCGCTGGGCTTGCCTGGCGCGGAGTTTCCCGGCGTGTCGCCCCTCTCGCCGCATGTGCCCTGCAGGGCTTTGCAGCACCGGGAGCCCCAGCGGGGGGCCTAGGGGGTGCTCAGCCTCCCAGAACGGGGTGTCCAACCTCGCACTCAGCCCGAACGCTCCTCTCTGCCACCACTTGCCGAGGCGATGCTCGGCTTCCAAAGCCAGCTCAGATGCCGCCTCCTCCGGGAAGCCAGCGGGTGATCTCTGCCTTCCAGGTGCCAGCACATTGCTGTTCCTCACACATAGTGCTGCCCAAGCGCGATCCACACGGGAGCCACAGATGGCAGCCACGTGCATAATTTCAGATTCGCCAGCAGCCGCGTGGGACCGCCGTTCCCACAGCAGGGAGCCGCGTGGAGACGATGAGTTAGCGCGGGGTCTCACGCCCTCGCTGCCCCAGGAGTGCGCGCCGCGGCTCACACCTCACCCGCAGTTTGGACTCACCGCTCGCGTGTGGGGCTGGCATCCGCTGCTGCCTCCGGCCAGAGTTGGGTAAGAGCTTGCCAATGGATTGAACAGTTGTCGGATGTGGTTTTCACTCAAAATACTCACATTCTCTAACTGTCGTTCGGTGCCTTACAACTTGTGCTCTGCCTGGCAGTCTTGGGAACGCGCTGAGCTGCGTTTTCTGCATTTTGCTCGTTTGTTGTGGGAGGCAGGGCTGGCCACGGGCCCCTCCTGTCCGTCCCCACGGGGTGGGGGCCGTGGGACCAGCGGGCTGGGACGGTGCCGATCAAGTCCCAGAGCGCACGTCAGAGGCGGTGCCCGGCCTCTCCCTGAGTCTGTTTGTGGAACCCCGAGCGACTGCTGAGAGCCGGGGGGACAACCGTGGGACGCGGACCTTGTCACAGGTGGTTACCTAACAACAGAGGAGGGGTCACGCCGCCCGCCGCCTGGCGCGCTCGGCTCGGCAGGATGCGCGTTCCCATGTGTGTCCTTCGCCGCCGTCTGCTGCTCACTGGGGCTCGGGGCCAGCGTCCTGGACCAGTGTCCCGCCCACCTTGGCTTCCGTGTGCGCGTATGACGGGGCAAGAGTCTAGGTAAACGTCTTTAAAACACTCGAGCGAGGCGGTTGCTGCCACGTGACTCTGCCCGTAAAGCCTAAGTGACGTGCGGAGGTGGTGGGGACGCTTCGTCACGGCCGGTCCCAGCACGTGCTCGCTGGCGTGCGTTGGAAGGCAGCCGCGGGCCTTCAGCTCCCACCCTGTTTCCGGTGACCTGAGCCAGCAGCACTCCAGTCTCCTGACCCGCAGGTGGCGACGGCCTTGCCCTCCCCCTGGACATGAACGCCGGCCCCTTCTGCCCCCCTGCCCTCTGGGGGGCCCTCTGGGGCCGGGTTTTGCCAGGAACTAAGTCAGCAAGCAGCACGCTGCGCTCCGACTCCGGCGATGGCTGTGCCGAGGGCCGTCGCGTGTGGTCAGGGCCAGGCCAGCAGCGGTGTTTGCCCTCAGAGGCCACCAGAGGTCGTCACAGGTGGCCCCTCGGCAGACCTTATTGGGCGAGCAGGGCTAGCTTGGCAGGTGGCCCAGGAGGCGCCCCGAGGCCAGGTGGGGGCCCCTTCCTTGCTTAACCCCCAAGGCGTGAGGCCAGGTGCCTGGTCAGGGGCAGAGCTGGGCTTCACTTGTGACCTGGCCCCTGAGGCATCGGGAGGGGTGCTGCCTGGTCCCGCCGTCTGCCCCCACCCACCCCCGACTGGCTCCCCCTGTGCTGGGCCGCAGTCCTGTCTCTGCTGGTTCGGGGCAGCCACGGCGTACGGGGGGCCGCAGGCGCCTGCCTCTCCGGGGGGTTCCCAGCAGTGGTGCCGGTCCGCCCCAGCCTCTGAACCCGACTCCTGGAGGCACTGTGGAGGCGGGGCTCCCCGTCTCCTCCGAGGCTGCCTGCAGATCGCTGTGCACGTTTATTTCCATTTTCGGGAGAACGAAAGCAGCGCCCGCCACCCAGGGAGGTTTTTCTGGCTCTCCCTCTGGGACAGACCTAGGTTCTGTCCCCAGACATTGACTGCACTCCGGGGAGGTCCCTCATCCACTCCTCTCGCCCCAGGACTTCTGGGCGGGTCCTCAAAGATACCTGCCCCCGTGCAGTTGCTAACAAGCGGGGAAACGGCCAGACAGCTGACAGGTGCTGCGGGGGTGGTGGCCAGGGCCTGGGCGACAATCGTCATATTGGTGGGGTCACAGGGCAGGTTTTCTTTGGCTTAGGAGACCCGTGTGGTGCGTGCTGAGCACAAGGCGGTAAGGGTGGGGGGCACAGAACCCGCTGGGCCCAGGCTCCCCTACCTTGCTGTTGGCCTCCAGGTAGTTGTACAGCACGTTGATGGAGATGGTGAGGTCCCCGTTGTTGAAGGGGTACGACCTGTTCCAGCCCTGGGCCCCGAACTTGCGCCTCTCGGCCACCACGGCGTGGAAGTAGCACAGGGCGAAGAGGATGCACTTGAACTCGATCTCCTTGGAGCACATCTCCAGGGTGTCCTGCGGGAAGGCACGTGCGCCCTGGCTGGGACGAGTCCAGCTCTGCCAACAGCCTGCGGGAGGGTGAGGGGGTGGGGAGGGGTGGGGGCGGGTAGGGAAGCTGCTGCCGCTGCCGGAGGGAGGCCCCGGCCACGGGGGCTGGAGGAAAGCGTGCTTTTCTGTGCTGCTGTCTTCCAGAAGTGCAGTGCTATCACCTGAGAGTTGATTTTAAGTCACATTAAACTGCTTCCTAATAAAATATTCCCAAACTCAGGACACTTCTGGCTTCCTTTAATGAGGAGCACTGTCCCCGCCACGGCCAGCGCTCCCCCCCGTGTGCAGGTGGACACTGGCCCAGACTCCCGAGGAACAGGGGCTGGCCGTGCCTTCTCGGCACAGTGCTTCCGGAACTCTCTCTGTAGGTGTTCTCAGACAACACGGGGCGTCTTCCTTGAAAAGGTTTTAGGCCCCACGTGGGAGATCAAGTGTGCACACCCAGATAGTTCTGGTGAAGAACAGGAGATCAGGTGATGCCAGGGGCTTGCGGAAGGGGGCCCAGATGCGGGGTGGGGGAGGGGGAGATCTATGAGAAGGTCACGCAGGGACTCGCAAGGAGGGAGGAGCCGCAGGAGCCTGCCCAGTGATGCAGGCGAGGGGGCCACCTAGGGATGGGGGTCGGGGGGAGGCCTGGCAGCCAGAGCCAATGAGGACCCTTCTCTTCTGCTGCCTCTTGAGCCAGAGGAGGGCCCGGGGCAGGGGGGCACTGCAGCCCCAGCACACGCCGGGAGCCGGGCCCCTTCCCGAGGTGACCCACACCGCATTCAGCCATGCTGGCTCGCAGGTCGTGAAACCGGTTACAAATATGCATTTCTGGTTTGTACGGCTGTAACTTGAATGCGTTTGGCATTATGTGCATTCCACTCAGCTTTGCACGAATATGTTGATTCCGTGGTGGGAGGTGGGCACCAGGGGTGGGGTGGAGCGCGGAGGACCCGTGTGGAGGCTTCCCCCCAGTTCCGAGTCTCAGCAGCACAGGCCGGAGGCGCCTTTCTGCCCGTGCCCTGAGGTTGCCCCAAGCTGGGGCTGCATGAGGCGGGGGCAGGGGCTGGGCGCAGGGGGCACACCAGAGGGGAAGCGCCTCACCTGAGTGAAGAGGTCCAGAGCCTTGTGCAGGTTGGCGTGCATGCCGGTGGGCGGCTCGTTGGTGATCTTGATGGCGTTTTCCAAGATGCCCTGGGGGATGATGTGGGACTCGGGGCTGGGGGCGGGCTCGGCGCTGATGAACACGCGGTAGTCCTCGTGGCTGCCCGTGCTGTACCGCTCCACCTTCTTGTCCAGCGTACTCAGCCACCGCGCCACCAGGTGGATGTTCTGTGGCCGAGACTGGGGCTCAGCACCCCTGCGCCCCTCCCCGCCGTCCCCCCTTCCCCAGGCGCCGGGCGTGCCGGGGAACTTCACCTTCGGTGGCGCTGAGGCTGAGTCTGTCCTTGTGCTTGTTAGTTCAAGCTCAGCAGCCGGAAGGCGAGTCCTTCCCGGCCCCCCTCCCCCACACAAGGCTGGGTTATGCGGTCCCCACCTCTCCCCTGAGGGGTTTGGGTGAAAAGGGACGGCCTGAAGCTGGGGTCTCCACAAGGGACCAGGCTGGGCCTGCAGATTGAGGTCAGCACACCCTGGGGACTATGGGAGCGGGCGGGCCTGGAGGAGCTGGTCTGCGTGCAGGAGAGGGCGTGGGGAGGCTGCTGGGCCCAGAATGTGGACACAACGCCCCCCAGGCCACTGTTGCTTCCCCCGAGTGAGGGGGAGGGGGAGGGGGACAGGGAGGAGGATCTCTTCAGGAGGGGGAGGAGGAAGAGCATCTCTTCAGGGGTCCCCGGGCCTAACCCCAGTGTCCTCACTGAGGAAGGTGGTCCTGACAGCCTCAGCACCCAGCTGGCCAGGCAGAGGGACCTGGTGGGGCAGCCGCCCGCCCCCTCCCACGATGGTGCGCAGAAAGCCCAGGACCTGCTCTCTCTCGAGCCTTCAGGCCTGTCCCCGCGGCCGCCTCCGGGCGGGGAGCCCCTGCGCCAGAGGGCGCCTCCGTACCTGCAGAATGACCCAGTGTCCCATCTCCGCTGCCACATCCAGGGCGTTCTCGGCCACCACCTCCTGTCCCTGCCCCAGGGACACATTGTGGAGTTTCCCGTTGTCTATGGTAAATCCCAGTCTCTTCCCTAAAGGCAAGGAAAACAGGAAGAGCATGGGGCCTGCTGACGAAGGTTGAGGCTCTGCAACCCCGCTGGGAATTCCACACGCTCCCCGCTCTGTTCTGTGTTGTGGTGAAACGCACAGGACGTCAAGTTTACCCGTTAGGGCTGTCTTTAAGTGTATGTATGGCTCAGTGACATTTAACATTTGCTATGTTGTGCAACCATCCACCCGGTTCCAGAAGGTTTTCATCACCCCGAAAAGATGCCCTCCCTCCCCGTCCCCCGGCCGCCACATCAGCCTTCCGTCTCTGGATTTACCTATTCCGGGTATTTCAGATCATCGGAGCCGCGTAAACGGGGCCTTTGTGCCAGGCCTGGATTCCTCCTGGCACATTTTTTTCTAGCTCCGTGCGTGTTGCGTGTGTTGACACTTTATCGTTTTTTTGTGGCTGAACGCCAGCCCGTTGAATGGATCTACCACGTTAGGATTAACCACTCAGTAATTGGTGGACGCTGGGTTGTACTGCCTTGTGGTGGCTGTGAGCCAGCAGCCCTACGAAGTACCTGCTTGGCCACCTGTTTCATCCTCGGGGTGCGTACCAGCTGTGGAGCCGCTGGGTCACACGGCGACGGCGCGAGTAGCCACAGAGGAAGCACCAGCCCACCTTCCACGGTGGCTGTGCCTTCTTGCGGCCCCGCCAGCCATGCCAGGGGCCCCTGTTTCTCTGTATCCCTCCAGGGCCCATCACTTTCTGTGTCTTTGATGACGAGAGCTGTCCTAATGGGTTACGTGCAGGGGCCCCTCCCTGCGGTTTTGATGGGCATTTCCTGATGACCAGTGATGTGGCCGCCCCCTCCTGTGACCGCCCCCCCCCGGCCGGTCACACTCACCCAGGGCTTCCACGTCTTTCAGGGGGTCGACGCCGGGGGAAAGGATGAAGAAGATCGGTGTGGAGGGGCTGCTCTCCTCATAGGACTTGGAAAACTCGACGCTCCGACCTTCCACAAACTTGCTGCCCATCTTCTCCTCCACGAAGTTCCTGAGGGACACGCACTGGTCAGATCTGAAGGCGAGGGGGACAGGGTGGGCTGTGACCCCAGGGGGAAGGGCCATTTCTTGGTGGGCTTAGGCAGAACACGTCTCCACTTCCGGGGGCTTTCCTCTTTGCAGGGGGGTGTGTGGAGGGGGAGCGGGTGCACCCCATCCCTGCTGGGCCCCGCAGAGGCGTGTTTCCCTGGAGAGGCCTGCATGTGAGCAGGTGAGAGGTGGTCTCCCGCTGCCCCACTTTCAGAGGATCCCAGGTCACCTGGGGAGAAACACAAGCCTCAATGGGGCCATAACCAGGGCATCGCAGGTGAGCACGCCCCGGTGCCGGGGTACCCCTGGGTCCTTCGAGCCCTCTGTGCCCCCCAAGGAAGGGGGCAGGTCAGGTTCTCATCTGGGCGGCAGAAGGGGAGCACAGTTGGGGCTCTGCATCCTGGCGGTCCCCTGACCGGGGGTTGAGGAGGAAGGAAGTTCATGTTGTAGCCATTTTGGTGAGTTTCCAGGACCATGGGATATATGGTTCATCAGAAAAATCACAGGGAAAAAGGAATTTTCCTTTAATGCCTCTCTTTCCAGAAGCGCCTCTTTGTTCCAAGCCCCAAACTGTCTTTCTGGGGTCAATCGAGGCCCCCTCTCATGGGAGGTTGAGGGATCTTTGGGGTGACATTTGGGTCTCGCTTTGCCCTTCTTCCTCCATCACCAACGGCTGAGCTTACTGTATTCCGAATGAGTCACAGGAGCTAAAATGCTAAGATTCGGCATCTTTAGAAGAAGCAAGTCAGTCTTTCGAAGAACAGCAGGAGAGGAGGCACTCACGCTCAAGCAGCCGGCCATCGGACACTCTGTCCTTATCCTGGAGGACCGTCGGGTGGCCTGGTGGCGGCCTGCTCACTTGGAGGCCACCCCACACCCTCCGACTCCTTCCCTCGGACTCCGGGGGGAGCCTCCAAGCCTCGGTGCTTCCTGGGGACACGCTTATCAGTGTCCACCACCTGCCCTGGCCTTCACTGGCTCCTATGCAGTTTCCCTGAACTGATGCCGGCTCCCGGCTGGGGGCTGGATGGGGGGCCAGGGGACACACCGCCCGAAAGCCTCCAGTTGTACTCGATTCCGGCCTCTGAGTGGACCAGGAATGTGGATGCTAGGATCCTTGTCCAGGAAGGACTTTGGGAATGTAGGCAGGAATGTCACTAAATCCACTGTTGCTAAGGACATGGCCAGGCCATGTGGTCATCCTCTGCCGGTGAATTAACGATGAACGGTGTGTGCTGGTTCGGGGTGGGGGCTCCACCACTCTGGGCACCGCGTCCCCGGCAGAGGAGTGCGGGGCCCACTCCCGGCCGGGACAGCCACATCACAGAAACTGCTGCAAACCAGGGCCTTTGCTGGGAGATGCGTTTGCCAGCACCCATCCCCCTCAGGTGCTGCCCTCTTGGGGCCAGTGAGCCTCGGGCCGCCCCGCTGGGGGCACAGGGGAGCCCACGCTTTGGCGCCGGGTGCACAGCATGCAGCTCTGATGGGGTGCCCTGTTCAGGCTAGCGGAAGAAGGGGCCTGGCGCCAGCGGACGGGGTCCCGGCCCCCCAACAGGGGCGGGGCCACGGGTAGCTCCTCCCTCCGCCCAGGCACCGCCCCTCCCAGGGCACCACGCCCACCTGACAGCGTAGGTCATGCGGTCCGGCCGCATGCATCTCAGCACGCACAGCTTCTGCAGCGCCGTTTTGTTCTTCCACTCCTTGGGGAAGATCTCCTTCTCCGGGGCTTCTGACTCCACCAGCTTCTTCCACCGCTTGGCGGACCCTTCGATGTCGCTGTCCAGGTTCTTGAACTCATCCATCTCCGACAGGGCCTGGGGGCAGGCGGCCTTTAAGCTTCAGCCCCCACTCCCAGTGCAGAGGCCCGGATTGAGCAACGGAGGCACATGACCTGGGGGCCGACCCCCCAGAGGGCTGTGGGACGGGGGCGCCGCCCCCGTCACAGGGGACCCTGTTCTTAAGGTCTTCTGAACAGAGACACCAAGGGCCCCCAGTGCGTGTGCCCGGAATTGGAGGTGTTTACTTGAAGCTTTGCGCTCGGTGGTAGAGGGGCCGCCCGTGGCTCAGGGGCCGTGTTTGGACAGGAAAGTAGAGTTTCCTGCGAGCCGGCAGGCAGCCCTCTGCACCCCGGCCCCACCACTGGGGCCCGGCCCCCCACCGTTCCCAGGGTGATCACCAGGGGCCTCGCGCAGGGAGAGGAGCATGTTCGAGCCTGCGCGCCCACCTTGATGCCGCCCCATCCCTGGTGCTGCAGGAAGTCCACCGGGGACAGGACCCCCGCCTTGAAGGGGAACCGCAGGAGGAAATCCAGCTCTACCGGGTTCAGCTCTTTCTTCATGGACAAGACCTGGGGGGACACGGGGGCCGCTCAGATGTCACCCCACAACAGGGGGGCAGGGGGGCCACCGGCCCCTGGCAGGAGAGCCTGGGACCTTGGTCCTGGGGGGACTGACTGACGCAGGGCAGGCTGAAGAGCTCACACCCCTGGTCCGCAGCCGGGGCGGGGGAGTGGGGTGGGGGTTGGTGGGGGGCTGTCCTGTCCTCGGGTCTGGCAAGACTTTCCATTCACATTGATTTTTTTTTTTTAATCGTGGTAAAATACACAGGACACAAAATGTACCGTCTCACCCCTATTAAGGTATAACATTTTCGTAAAACCGTGTCACCGCTATCTAGCACCAGAGCTTTTTCTTCTTCCCAAAGGGAACCGGGACCCTGTGCACAGCCCCTCCCCCCGGCCACTGGCGGCCCCGCGTTGGCGCTCTGTTCAGTGGAGCCCTGCAGATGTGGCCTTTCCCATCCGGCTTCTCTCACTCTGTCCTCTTGGTTCACCCATGTTGTAGCGACCACGTTTGGTGTATCCGCTGATCCTTCGATGGATGTTTGGGCCACGTCCCCTCGTGGCCATTACGTGCAGAGCTGCTGTGAGTGCAAGAGAGTCAAGTCGTCGGGCCGTATACATTTTCTGGGGGACTTCCTGGGTCCTGTTCTACGTCGCCTCGTCACCCGTGCACACCAGCTCTCTGGGCGTCCATCTGGCCGTGGAGCCGGGGCCACGGTCACCGCAGCGCCGCAGACAGGCGCCCGCGCAGCTCCACTCCGACGCCACAGAGCAGGGTTTCGCCCGAGTCAGATTCTCTTTTTCTTTCTCTCTCTCATTCAAAAGAAGAACTTCTTTGGAAATTTAGGGGGAGCACCAAGTTCTGCTGCCCCCTCAGCGGGGCGAAAACTCATGGTGGGCCTGCCCTTCGGGACTCACGCAGGTACGGAAAACCTTGATCTGGACCCTCAGGCAAAGTGTGCGTTGGGAAGCAGACTTCCGGAAGCTATCTAGAAATTCGTGTTTTCTGCCATACTTACGAGACTGAACCAGATGGTGGAGGGGCTGTTAGATTAACTTAATGGAACGAAAATGAAACAAAAACTGTTTCAGAGGGTCTGTCTGTACGAAGAGGAGGAATGTTCATCCATTGGTAGTTTTACTTCCTTAAGAAACAGTATTGGGCGTCCTTGGTTCACCACCTGCTGGGGTGGAACTGCTCCCTTGGCGTTAAGTAAACGTAATAGAACAACGTTTCTTTGTAGAATTCTCTGTAAGGGACCTCCCCTCCGGTGGCTGCCACCTACAACCGTGCCCGGTGTCAACAGAGTCCCAGGCGGGTCCCCCAGCAGGGACCCGAACAAATGCCATCACCCGGGAACCTGCACTGTGGACCACGTGTCAAGCAGGGAGGCCAGACTTGCCTGGAAGGCCACCTGGGCCAGGAAGATGAGCTTGTCCCGTTCGAAGAGCCCGCGGGCCGTGTACATGTAGACGGAGTAGGTGATCTCGTCCGTCAGGTTGATCACTCGCTGCTTGACCTCATCGGCCGGGGCGGTCTTCTGGATGGCCTTCTCGAATACCACATTGAAGGCCTGGGGGAGGGACACACGCGCGCTCGTGGGGCTGGATTCTGAAGCCGCCCTGTGCTCCCTGTGGGGGCTCCGGCTGCTTTCCGTGGTGGGTGAGGGTCTGGGGCACTGGGAGAGGAGCACATCCCACGCCCTGGGTCCCTCTTCCCACCCCTGTCTGCAGCCTGGACCCCGACTGTTCTTCTGATGGTGGGGGGTGGGGGAATGCTCTGTGGACACCAGGCCCCGCCCCAGAGCCCGGCCGCAGCCACACCTTGAGCGAGAACTGATAGATGGGGTTGATCTTGTTGAGGTCGTTGAGTATGAAGTACAGCAGGGACGCCCTCTCTGCGGCTGGCCGGTAGTTCTCTCTGGCCTCGTTGATTTTAGCCTCTGTGATTTTTGCCTCTTTCACCTCAAAACAAATGGGGCTTGAGTGGGACCAGCAGGTGGACAGAGCTGGTGGGCAGTGGGCCCTTCCCGTCTGGGGGACCCTCGGCCGGCGGCGGGCATCCTGCTCCCCACCCTGGGCCCCGGGGCACGCATGGGACTGTGGTTTCCCTCCGTCCCCATCGGCCGGGCGGCCGGCCCGCCGTGCGCTCTCACCTTCTCCTCGATCTCACTGGCCGTGTGCTTGGTGGTCTCCAGGTTCTCCACTAAGGCTGTGTCCCCCAGGAAGTTCCCCGACGCGGCCGACAGACGGGCCAGCAGGGAGTCTTCCAGCTCTTTCAGAACAATCTTGAATTCATTTTGAGACTTGGTGAGGTTGGCCTGCAGGGGGGACGGACGCAGGGGGGATCAGGCATCGGCAGGCCCTGCCCCCACAACTCAGCTGAGACCCCTGTGCAGACGGGAGGAGCCTTAGCCTGTTCTGGGAAGCCTGTGTGGCCGGGGAGCAGGGCCTGGGACCGCCCTGAGCCCGGCCACGGAGGCCATGCCGGTGGGGCAGCGGTTCGGTGCCTGGGGACTTCTGGGCACCACTGAGGCTCCCCTTTGGTCAGTGACCTCGTCGTTTGGTCTGGAATTCGGTCTGGGAGGCCGCCGGGGGGGAAAAGCAGCCACCCTGGTGCACAGAATACCGTCGGCGCGACAGGCAGGGGCGCCTCCAGACACACGCCTAGGGGTGGCCACCGCTGGGTCAGGGAGCCTCGCGGTCACCGGCAGCCCGCCCCGCACCCCGTGCGGCTGACGTCAGGCCCGGTACCTTCAGCTGCTCGAGGTCCGGGCGCTCCTTGGCCACCACGGCAGCCAGGAGTTGGTCCTCGAGCCCGTCCCTGGTGACCAGGAAGTTGATGAGGGTGCACTGGGCTTGCATCTCAGGCTTGTAGTGCGGGTTGAAGTACTTGGTGTGCAGGATGAGGCGGAAATTGGGGTGATACTCCACCTCCTTGTCGCCGATCTTAATGAACCTGGCCGTCAGGGGAGGTGGGTTAGAGAGGGCTCTGGCGGCGATGTTGCCAAGAGGCCACCTTCCATAGCAGCCTCGCGGCCCCCCACCCCTGCCCCGGGCCTCACTGCCACTGCAGGCCCTCCTCTGGACGCCGGGCTGTGTCTCTTGCTCCAGTCTTTCTCTCTGGCCTGTGGCCAGGACCTTCTAGAAGGTGCACCTGCTCTCTCTCGGGCTGGTTTGTTCTTATCTATATAGCGGATAGCAGGGCATGCTCCATTCCGGCGACCCATCACACCCACCCGGGAGCCGGCACAGAACTACTCCGCCTGGGCCCCGCCCCGGAGCCACAAACACCAGAAGGATGCTGCTGTCCCAATTCAGACCATTAGTATGTTCTGGAAGCTCCCCGGGGGAAGTCTGAGAGCAGCCAGGGCCAGAACCTGGGTCTGCCAATGCACCGTGGGGCGATCTCTCCTCTCTGCTCCCCACTCTACTCCTCTTTTCTGGTAGAGCTCACTGCTCTGGGGGCCTCTAACTTCACCTCTTGGGTAGCAGCATCACGCCGAGCTCTTCTCAGAGGCTAGGACAGCGGTGTGTTTATCGTTACCTCTGTCCTGGGCTTCTGCACGCACCCCTGCGTTGAAAGGTGGCTCCTACCACCTTTGATGTTTACATTTTAAAAGTTGATTTAACCAAAACATTTTTAATGTTTATTTTTGAGAGAGAGAGAGAGAGACACCGACTGAGCCACCCAGGCGCCCCTAATGTTTTTTATATTAGAAGAGTAATGCCAGCTCAGACGAGCCTCGAAGACGCGGAGCTTAGGGGAAGCAGTCAGACCCAGAAGACCCAGCGTCGTACGACTCCCTTTGTGTGGAACCCCCAGAGATGGAGGGCACATGGCGGGTGCCAGGGTATGGCAGGCGGGGGATAAAGGGGGTGATTGCTTCCATCTGGGGACACGAAGGTGTTCTGGGCCCAGATGGGGTGACGCTTGCACAGCATTGTGAATACACCAAGTGCCACTGAATGGTTCACTTAAAAATGGCTAATTTTGGAGCACCTGGGGACTCAGTCGGGTGAGCATCTGACTTCGGCTCAGGTCATGATCTCATGGCTCATGGGTTCGAGCCCCACATCGGGCTCTGTGCTGACAGCTCGGAGCCTGGAGCTGCTTCCGATTCTGTGTCTCCCTCTCTCTCTCTGGTCCTACCTCACTAGCGCTCTTTTTTGCTTTCCAAAAAAAGCTTAAAAAATAAATAAAATGGATAACTTTATATTAGGCAGATTTCGCCTGAATAAAAACGGAAAACAGTACTACAGGCTCAAGGTTTGTGTAATATGTAAAAGTAGAAGAGAAGCCTCTGTCGGCAGGCGGTCACCGTCTGGCATTGGTTTCAGTGGTCCTGGCCGGGATGCTGCCCCCAGGAAGGCAAAGGAAATTTCCTGCGCTTTCTCCGTGTGGAGGCCACAGCCACTGAGGGTGCTCTGCTCGCCTGTGCGCATCTGGGGACTCACTTTCCCTTTTTAATGGTGTTCCTGCCGAGCAGCGGGTCTAGCACGGGGTCCACGGTTTCGCCAATGTTCTCGATGAGCAAGGTGTCCCCTTCGGAAATGGCCTGCTCGATGATGTCCAGGTAGCTGTGCGATGACACAGGGGCCATTTAATGGGGGGGGGGGAGGGGACAGCTCAGAGCGAGAAGGCCGGCAGCTCATCCCCTTCCCCACCCCGGCCTTCCCCGGGGGGTGCCCCAGGGCACCTGTGTGCCTCCCCCCTCGGGGCCTACGGGAGTGCAGCTCTGTGTTCACTTCTGTGTGTGGCTCTGTGTCCAAGAAGGGATGCGGAGTGGCCTTAGTGTCAAGGAAACCAGCCCTGCCCCCCGCCCCCCCCTCCCCGCCTGCCAGCGTCGCGAACCTCTTCTGCCCCAGGCGGATGGCTTTCAGTTCGCTGCCGTATTTGTTTTTGATCCACTTGACGCCTTGCAGCTGGGCGTCCACGATGAGGGGCCAGCGCTCTGTGCTGCACAGGATGGTGGCGTTCTCGGTGGACATGCGGTCGCTGGGGAGGCCCTGGTTGTTCCATGTGGCCACGTCCGCGTCGTCCGTCAGCAGGCTCAAGGGATCCAGACCTTCCGTGATGGGGATGGGGACCTGGGGGGCGGAGGGAGCGCTGGTTCTCAGAAGGGCTGATGTGGCCTCACCACTCCCCAGGCAGCGGCTCCCCAAGTGACACGGAGGGTCTGCGATTAGGCCACGGGCGAGCCGTGTCATCTGGAAGACAGCCACTCGCCGGGGCCCCCACAGCACCTGGGAACCCCGCTGGGAAGAGCGGCAGCATTGGCCAAGCTTGGCCGCACTTTCTTTATTTCAGAAGGGAGGGCACGAGTGGGTGTGCGTCTGAGCAAGCGGGCAGGGGCACAGAGAGAGAGAGAGAGAGAGAGAGAGAGAGAGAGAGAGAGAGAGAATCCCAAGCAGGCTCCACACTCATTGCGGAGCCCGACACGACCCTGGGATCGTGACCGGAGCTGAAACCAAGAGTTGGATGCTCAACGGGCTGAGTCACCCAGGGGCCCCTGGGCCACATTTAAACCCTCAACGGCCAGAGCGTCTGTGAGTGTGACGTTTGGCTGAGTCGGCCCTGCCGCGGGGCCTCCTCGAGTTTCCTGGGCGGTGAATGCAACCCCGCCTCTTACCTTTAACTTATTTACGTAAGGGATCCAAAACTTCTCCATCAGCTCGTTCCGGTACTTCTTGGTGAAGTAGCCCACATAGGAGACGAAGGCGGAGATCAGCAGGACGTCCCCGCACAGGGTGACCCCCTGGCTTTTGAAGTTCTTCACCGACTCTGCCCAGCGGATGTTTTCCGACGCCAGGCCCCCCACCAGCCTAAACGGAAACACGAGGTCAGTGGGGGTCGAAGGAAAGGCCGGAGGCGTCCTCCCATCTAGATGCCGTGAGGCTCGGCCACTTCCAGTCCTTCCTCCGCTCGGACCTTCAGCAGAGGAGGCGCGTTGGGGGACATTTCGGGGAAGGACCGCTTCAGGGGAGCAAAACGGATGCCTTGTGGAGGCGCCTGGGAACCGCGTTCTGTGTTGATGTCACTGCTCCGCTGACGTCATTTGAACGTCTCACCCGTGCACCAAAGCTGCTGCCCAGACACCGCGGAGTGCGGGCTTGGCCAGCGACAGGTCCCGGCAGCGGTGGAGCGGCCACGGTGGCCACAGGGCAGTGCGGCTCCAGAGGGCAGCTGGCCCACGTGGAGCGGGGACTGCAGGAGACGCATCATGCGGTACAGGTCAGTGGCTCTAGAACTGGTCCCTGACCCTGGATGGGACCCCATGAGCCTGAGAGCACAGAGATATTTGTTGAGAGCACAGGCCCACGGAGGCCCGTCCTCAGCATCGCCCGAGGGGCCCTTGCCTCGCAGGGACTGCTTTGATTTTCTTGGCAGGCGTGGTCCAGTCTGCACCCTGCTGGAGGCCAGCGCTGCGCAGCCTGGGGGTCTCCCGGGGTCCCCGGGTCTCACCGACCGCAGCTACAGTGGGGTGCCAGCCCCCCGGGGCGGAGAAAACTCCACCAGGAGCCATACACTACGGCCGAGCCCACCAGTGGCTCTGTGCCAGGCTCCCGGCGGCCGCTTTCGGAAACCCGAAAAGAAAGCCCTGAAGCCTCGCCGTCCGCGGGGGCAGCTGCCAGCGCACGTGGCCGCGGCCTGAACTGAGGTGCACGTGGATTTCAAGGACCCGGGGTGCGAACGTGCGTAAATGGTCTCACCCATCATTCTTAATGATCAGATGTGATCACAATTGATCACATGTTGAAACGACCAAATTCGGGGTTGTGTAAAATGCGTTACCAAAGTCTGTTTCATTGCTGTCCTGTGCTAAGGTGGCGACTAGAACGTGTAAAATGACGGGTGTGGCCCCGGTCCCGTGGGCCAGCCCTGCTCTGGGGTCCACGAGTGCAAACGAGCCGGGCGAGGGACGCACTGGCGGAGGCCCCGGAAGCCAGTGCCCACACTGCGGGCGGGGAGAGTGGCCGTGAGGGCAATCTGCCCGGGGTGGGGGATGGGGCCTGTGGACACCACATCCCATGCAGGTCGGGGCAGGTCTGGGTGACGCGGAGCTCCGCCCTGCCCAAGGTCACAGGATGCGCAGGGGTGCACCGTGGAGAGCCACCAGCTGTGGGAGGCGGACACACTGGCGGGTCGTCCGTCAGGGGTCTGTCCGTGTGACTCAGCACAAGCAGGGACACTGCTGCCTGCACAGGGGGCTGTTCCTCCTGCTCCAAAGGCCGTTGCGTGGGCCCGACCCTCCGGGGCACCCGCGGGGCAGAGCCAGCT